CCATAAATTGTCAGTAAAAAATGATGTGATAACAGTAGTGTCAACACTTAAAGCCGGCTTTTAGGTGCATCCACAAATGCTTCTAGTAGGTTCAAGGGCCTGGATTTTACAACCCTTTTTCACACGTCCACTGGCTTTTTTAATCGGTATTCCTCATGAGATATAGGTAAAAACAATAATTATCTTAACTGGTATAAGATGAAATCGGTGACTGATTGTTCGGACATTCATGGTTTAAATTAGATGTTATCGCTTCAAAGGATTGCCCCCCCTATTCCTTCACCCAGTTTGGGACTTAGCCCGCGCTTGTGCACGCAACTGTTCCATCAACCAATCAGAGGTGAGCAATCTGAAGGTCGTGATGCTATTGGCTGGTTTGCGCCATTAGATCACTGTTTGAGCTGGATTTGGTGTCTTGTTCTGGCAGAACTTCACACGCACAAAAATCCCAAAGATGACTGAAAAGGCGTTCAAAGATTGTGCTAAACCCACAAAAAGATGTGAAGACTGTGCCGAATCTGAGGCATATTTTTGTCTTGGTTACCAACGCCTTGACTAACAAGGGGTAATTTGGCCTTCTGTCGCCTCCTTTGCAGTTGAAGTAATAGCTTGTCTTTTTTAATGGAAGAGAAGAAAGGTAAAATACTAAATGCTCACAGTTCGTGTCTATGCCAAGTGAAAATTAAACTGGTATTTTGTTCCTAGTAAGTTATGCTTGGAAGCAGAGGCCAAGTGGACCAAGCAAGATCACTTTCAGCGTATCCATTCACACTCCCCAGTGCGCGTTTAAACATCGGTCGCCTCGCTAACCGTCGGTAATCATTCTCCGTTGCACGCATTTCTTGCCCTGCTTGTGATTGTCGAGTATTTCGGGTTAAGGACACCTTCGAGCAAATTGTGGAGAAAAAATGTTTTGTTTGGCAATTCCTCCTTGTTTATACTTGCACCAGTTTTCTCCACATTTATGGCTTTAGTTTATTTTTGTGTGGGGTATGAAACTACGAACACCCAGCAGTGGACTGCCATTGCGTGGGTAAGGTGTTGCATTATTTACGCGCTGAACCGTGAATACGATTGTGGGAACCCCCAACTCCTTGCTGTTGTTCTTAGTACTACATCTTCTGGATGACTCCTCGCTCCTACATCCTCATTCACCCCATTAAGAATAGCTCCTTTAATTGTCGTCTCACATTCACGCTTCCATTATGAAATTCCTCGTCATCTGCTGGGTCACCTTGAAGCTGCAGTTTCGTTTCCAAGATGCCCGAAGAGTGCATTTCCTACTCAAAGTGATTTCGTTCGAATCATTCCGAGTGACTTTCTTGACAGGCTGTTGTCCAGCATGGTAGTCATCTAGCTACGGTCACAGTTATAACCTCAAACAGCCATTGCGAATAAGTAACACCTTCCAGTTGTTATGGACCCGGAGGCCCTTCTGTCTGTCTGTAGGGATCATCCCAACGTTTAAATGAACTGCCGACTGAGTCACTTATGGTAACAATTGCGTATTTTCTCAAAGACTGATGACTTATTACCAGGGCAATACCTCCCGATTAGCAGTTTCCACGGTGATGTAGCTGTCAAAAATGCATAAAGGTCAACCAAGACTCCTATTGTGTGACTGAAGGATTCGCACAGGAGTGCTGCATCCCCTCAAACTAGCTTTGGTTAGTCATTGCCACTATTAAGTAGGTAATTTATCGCACTTCTGAAGTTCTTTTTTTGGGTGGAAAATCCGAGATTCTCGTGATAGTAAAAACCATGTTGGGAAACGACCACCTCAATCAAGTGTTGAAGCTTCCTGCACAAGTTTTCAATCAGGGATTTCTTTACAAATAACCACTTAACATGGGGCACAAGCTTCGTGATGTGATTCTGGACTTTCGCGAAACCCACCTGAAAGTAAGCAGTTCGTCCATCACCTTTACTGATGGACTTTAGTGATGGGTCGTTGAAATGTGGATTCACGCTAGACTTGCACAAAGTCGGTGACAGATAAGCATACCCTGCCTTCAAACTCTAGCAACCTAATTGTTAAGGCAATTGAAGCTACTATTACTTTCGAATCTAGCTTTTCTTGAGACATTTCAGTATATTACCCTGTCAAGCCTAGATCAAATTATATAAGCCTAACTTGTAACAACCTTTGTTCCATAATTCTGCACTTCAAAATCGTTGAGAATCATCTAAGCCTGCTTAAAAAGATCAGCTAGATGCTTCATAGGACCTAATTTACCGGGCGACTGCCCAAAGTTTTCATTTGGCATCGCACCGGGGTGGCAATTTCACACACCACTTTGATCAACTAGATATGTGCAAAGTTTGGTAAATTGCGAAATCTACGCTTGTATGAGAAAATATGGCATGGCGTAAACTCTATAAACAGATATTTGCCCTACGGGATAGGGTAGGAAGCGCCAATTATCAATTGAATTTGACCCCAAACAATTAGTTAAAATGGTTCAGTAAATTCAGACCACTTGTTCACCACCATCTCTGAACTAAAATTTTTTGCCTAGAACCATGACACACACCCTTGCCTACCTCGAATTTGGGGTTCAAAAGTTACTCAGTTATCGCGGATTATTTCTCAATCATATCCACAAATTAAGAGCACCGCAAATTTTTGTATTTTGTTAGCTCACACGATTGTTCTTATGCATCGCAAACGAGGTTACTTAATCATCAGCAGACAGTAGAGAGCCGTAATTGCATCGTGGTGATGCGTAAGGAAAAGGACCCAGGTGATAGTGAGTGACTCGAATCAAGCTGAGCCAATCACATTGGTCCACTGAGGCTAGCCAATTAAATTGGACTACGTAATATGCCTCTCTTGCCTTGCCCTCTGCAACAGTTGTTATGCATACAAACCACCCTGGTGACAAGGTGAATTGTAGCCTTTGCAAAGTTTCCTAGTGGTGGTACTTGGATGTTTCAGACCAATTATAAGGACATTGAACGTCATCTGATCACCTAGCACGTGCAGTCAAGGGACTTTTGGCAGTCGAACGGTGACTTGAGCTTCGAAGCGTTGATAGGTCCGATAATATTAAACTACTAGCCTTTTAAAGGGCAAAAATAGCCTTCTTATTGTTAATGTGTGAAGATTTGGTCCAACAGATTAGTGGATCCTCCAGTAGGGTATTTATGGATGCTGGTCAAATTGAGGTCTTGCAAGGGAAAAACTAAGCCATCTCCTTAAAAGAATAAATTATTTACTAGCAACAATTTAAATGTTTAGCCTATAATACATTTCGAACTTGAAAAGTCTTCGTAAATGGCTACTCACTATCTACGTAATCCTAAAATCGAGAAAATAAGATGGCATAATTGGCACTCTATGGCAAGTTCTTGGTAAAGAGTAACAAACTTAGTATATCATTTTACAGCGAAGGAGTACTACCAGATGTCTGCGGTTGAATTTAACTGCTGATTAATGCACTCTCACTCAGTATTGTCTTCAACTAATATCAAATGCAGTTGCCTAAGGAGAAACAGTTAGAAAGCTGTTCATTCAGGTCAAAATAGCCTACGTGATTCTGGAAAAAGAGCCATACTCCGCGTGGTTGAGCATGTGTTATTACGTTCCTCAGAAAAGTCAATCACTATAGGAAGGTGTGTTCAGATCCAAGCTCGTTGCACAAGTTAGGAATGCAAAAACTTTAAAGCTCTAGGTCATTTTATCAATCTAATTGTGCAAATGCATTCCTTCACACAGAATGAACTATAGTTCAAAGGCAGGGCAAACTAATCACCTTAAGGTAGACATAAAAATTGAGCAAGTCAATGTATGCAATCGGAGTGGATGTGCCTTACCGACCAAGGGTGCTTTCACTTAATATTCAAAAAAGGGGATAGGCGCTTACCTTTAACAGACAACAGTAACAAGCCAGCGATAAGAGTAAAATATTAGGCAAGGCCAGGGCAAGAAAGGTTCAAAATTGCATGCAAGTGACAAAACGTACAGTGAAAAATCGAAAGATTTATAGGTTTTTACTAATGCTAGACAGCCCAAAAAAAATCTAATCAAACAAAACATGCAAAAAAAACATGCACCTTACAAAGAGGTTTAAAGAACACTTAAGATAATAATATCTTATCTTAAACCCCGGCAGTAACACCTTTGCATAGCAAATGTTTAAAGCAAACAAAAATTCTAAAAGAGACTAACACGCGCAAATAATGCAGATTTTAGAATCAAAATTAAGACAAGTTTAAAAAACAAGTTGTGAGCAAATTGTGTGAAGCGTGTAAGTCAAGTAGGAAGAGAATAATAGTCAAAGGCGCATTATCACATGTTTAAACCTTTCAGACTTCCGTCCCATACATAATTCGTACTGGACTGAAGTGTGATAGGTATAACAATGTGGAATCCAAATCAACCCCTGAGGTTTTAAAAGGCGCAATATAATGAGTTGATTACATATTGCACACTTAAACATGATTAGTTGAAAAGCCTTTCTAAAAAAGTTGTATTTTTGCTGCAAAACCTTTTAAATTGAGAATAGCAACTTAAGTAGAAATTTGTTACAGTTGCTTTAATTGAGTGTCAAACAAAGGACGAAAATCCTATGAGAATCTTCCATTTTTCGTCAATGCTTGTAAAAACAGAACTTATAAAACCATTTGACCTAAAAGACAGAGGAACAAGCTCAGCACTGATTACAACTTTGCATTTGCTCTGGCAAAGAATTTATCATTGATTATATTCTTTTTGCCGTCTTGAGCACTATTTACTTTTTTAAAAGCACTATCACAAATGCTCACTTCAGTGTTTTAAAAAGTATAGTGCAAGACTTTTGACAGTAGTTTTACTTTATTCATTTGAAAGACCATGAATTATTTTGAACATTATGTCCTCTTGACTAATGTGCTACCAAGCTTCTTGTGTTTTTTGAAAAAAAGCGTTAAATTTTTGTGTTTCTAACACTCTCAATCTATTTGTGATTTAACATCGTTGCATTTGAGTTGTTTCCTGCTTTTACTTCTTGTGTTAGTTTATGGGGGGGAAGTGAGAGGGGAGGTTATTTTGTGTCCGTGTGTGGTTGGTTCTGTCGCATTAGCATCTAGGTAGTTATGGGGGGTTCATTTTTTTTCTTGAATACGATAATCTTGATTTCTAGGCCCTTTTGTGTTAGTTCAGTTGTATAGCATTGTTTTCCGCCTCCCTTTAATTGGCTCTGTCGTTTTCATTACTATATGTTATGATCTTGGGTCATTCCCTTTTTTGGTAATATTGATGATAATTACTGAAGTATTTTTTATGCAACTCTGTTGTTGGCTTTTTGCAGGAAGATGCCGAAAGCACCACTGTCCAAGGAGGAATACTTGAAGAGATACTTATCTCAGCCGAAGGGTAAAAAACAGAAGTCTGATGGAACTGTGCACTATATCACGTTCGTTTTAAAATTTCTTCCTTTTTCTTTGATTTTCTTTGGACCCTTTCTTTTGCCGTTGCATCAGTTCAGGTCCCCTAAGGTACCGGAAATTACTTTTCTGCGTAGGGTAATTAAAATTAGAAGTTTGTGAATTAATTTCAGTTTAGGCTGGCCAATGGCTTCTTTTTAAATAAGTTCTTTTTATCAATTTTAATTACTAAAGCTCTTCCAGTATGCGGCTAAATGTGCATAACATTCCGCATTAACTCGTTTAATTACTTCGTATTCTTGCTTGATACTCTGCATTCCTTTAGCTATATTTCTCTCTGATTGCTCCGTCGCTTAGTTGGAACACGTCCGAGAGAGTTTTTAAGGCTGACAAGCTCTACTACCCAATTTAAGCTTCCCGACTTTTACTCACCACTGTGCTTCTTGCTTCAAATAGCCTTTGCTACTGGCAGTAGTGAGATGCTTTATTCTGTTGCAATGAAAGAAGTTTTTTTTGCGTAAAAATGTAAAGTCCGCGTGCGTTGTGAGTAAGTATATCATGCGGATGCTTCAGTGGATTAAAATGAGCTTCCGCATAATAATACATACAATCCCTTATTATAACAGGTTACCTGATGACTTAGTTTAGCTGAAAATAGTGCCTTATGGTAGGGATCTAGCAGTCTTTTGAGTTTATTTGCCACTCATCTACTTGGTTTTCATCATTCTTTTCCATTTATCCTCTGTAATCAAAAGGTTAGTAAATGCCTCGAATTTAGATGATAACACCATTTTCTTAGATGTTGCTATCTCAGCCATGTGTTTAATTGTGGTCTTTTTAAAGCACTTCTGCTTGCACTTTATAACCAATTTTCTGTGGGAAAATGCGGACATCTCTCGACAATTAGAAGGTTCCAATAAGAGTTTTGAATTTGCGACGTGCATGCTCAAACTTTTTTGATTGTTTTGGCTCCCTGGATAATCACATGTAGCAGGGCATTAACACCGTTTCTTGATCTCAGAGCTTTGAGTTAGGCTTGGATTTTGTATCTGAAATTAGGGACGACCAGTGCTATGGCTATACGACGCGATTTCTACAGTCCAGTAGGCCCGAACGTCCTAATAATGGCTGATTTAAATATCACTGCTCATCAGCCGACCTCTATTTGGTAATTGGACTCCCAATGGTGTTGTTAGCGAATGCCACTCGTCTGTAAAGACTAACCAACGAATGCAATTGAAATGGCATGCGCGAAACCGACCGTCTTAGGCATCCGTAAATTTAATTCCTTGACATCTTCTTAGCCAGGTATTTGATAATTTGCTATCGTTACGCGAAATTTAGAATGGTCTCAAACTTTCGGAAATAGTTAGAAAAGAAACGCTAGTCCAAAGGCAGCGCCTCCTTCCTTCCTCCTTTCGCCGTTCCGTTAGATCCGTTTGTGGATTACTGCATGTCATTTCCTGGAAAAGATTTAATTAGTGCGTGAAAAAATGGTGGCAGATACAGCATTTATCCGGTTTGTGATACCTATCTGTGCCTTTGCTTCCTTTTTTTTGCCAACCTTTGACATTTTGAGATTTGGACCACGTCTTAGCCACCAAGGTTAATCTACAGTTAGGTCAGGAAGGTACGTTTGGTGGTTTAACAATTTTGCTCACCTTAGTTACTACTCGAGACTCCGTTGTGGCCCTTAGTAATTAAGGAAGTCAAACTTGCGTGTAATTTCTGAATTTTGGAATGGCTGTTATCAACAACTAACCCCTCTGCCTCTATTTACATTTGATGTTTGATCTAAGCATATTCTCTCGCTTATTCAGTGGTGAAATGCCCGACTCTCTGGACGCCTTTGATGAGAAGACGAAGCTGGAGTTGAACATGTTCAAACCTAGTGCTGAGGAGACGGCGATGGGTGTGACGCAGGTTCGCAAACGTACCAAGGGCATTCTCTCTGAGGAGGCTATCAGTGATCAGGCCTTGAAGGCGAGGAAAAAGGCCGAGTTGGAGGCCAAGTATGCGCTTTGGAACCGGGGGTACGTCTGCCGTTACGGTTTTTGCTTATCATTATTCCTGCCACGCCTGTGTTATGGTAATGCTTAGAAAGCCTAAGTTAGCTGTGCATTCTTGGGTGCTTAGTATTGCTTTGGGCCAGTGCTTTGAATCAACACCGCTCTTTTCAGATGGGCAGGCTTCAGCTGCTTCCAGCTGATTTCAGCTATGTGATACTGGTAAAACACCTGCAGACTCATTTGTGTCTCCTTTTCCTGCTTCCTCTGAAAGCGTAGACTCGGTGAAGGAGCGTGAATTGGAGCTAGAGGAGGCACGTTACGAAGCCTCGAAACCACTGGCTCGCTATGCCGACGATGTGGATCTCAACTTGCAGCAGAAAGAAGTCATCCACGCTGAGGACCCTATGGGCGCGTACTTTGAGGAGAAACGCAAGCGAAAGAAAGAAAGAGAAAAGAAGGAAAAGAAAAAGAAGCATCGAAAGCATGGTGCAGATGGTGAGTGTGCTCTTCTGCTTATTTCCGGAATTTTAGATGGCGGAGAAGGGGCTCAGGAAACGGAAGAGGAGGAGGATGACGCGAGACCACGCTACAAGGGTCCTCCGGAGCCCCCACCTAATCGATACGGCATTTGGCCGGGATACCGGTGGGACGGAGTAGATCGGAGCAATGGATTTGAGAGGAAACTGGTCGACGATATTACACGCAGGAGGGTGGAACGTGAGCTCGCCTATAAGTGGGGCACGGAAGATATGTGACAGTCATCCGCACCTTCATGTTATTGCTGTTTTTTACCTGCTTCTGCACAAAATGTATATTGCTCTATTTTCTATAAGAGTTAGTTTTGGCTAAAAAATATTCACCTATTTTTGATAAGCACTATGCAGTTGTGATGGGGCGGGATGAATGGATTTTCTTGGGTGCTGGTATGTAAGGATTGGGGGATCTCTGGGTGCGCACCTAAGCAGGAGAGGTCTTAGCGGTTGTTTAACCCTCTAGTTGATTGCAATGCTCAGTCATGGTAACGGGCCTTCTAGAGACTCCTCTGTTGTGCACGCCCCTAAGATGCATGGCTTTCGGCCCATGCAAACAGTGCTCCATTTCAGCCCCTTATGATGCCCCAAGACTTATTTGCTTTTGGTTACAGACAAATTTAAAAAAGCGCAGACTAGGGATACATGTATAGCAAAATGGCAAGGTAGAGTTTTTTATTAATATTTGCAATAGTCCAATGATGAAAATACACTGTTATTTTTTGCAATTTATTAATGTGACGCTTATTAAACAATTTACGCAGCAGAGGTTATTGTAAAATTTTAGTGCTAAATGCTTGATTAAAATATGGCGAATATTATACCAGGCGAGGTTGTTTCAGTTGATCCTGGTGACCCAAGGCCGTTCAAAATTTTGAATTTGCATTTAAGATGTTTGAGGCTCGGTTGCCGCAAGCTGATGTATGGAAGAAAGTCATTGACGCCATCAAAGAGTTGGTGCAAGAGGCGACAATTGACTGCTCTGATACTGGCATTAGCCTTCAGGCAATGGACAGTGCGCACGTCAGTCTTGTTTCCCTCTTAATGCGTAGCGACGGGTTTGAAACATTCAGGTGTGATCGAAATATGTCCCTCGGTCTCAATATCGCAAGGTTTGTATTTCTCTATGATGACTTTTTAGTGCTGCGAAAATCCTGCGATGCGCTGGCTCCACTGATTCAATAACTCTTAAAGCTGGAGACAAGGCTGACACCATAACCTTTCTTTTCGAGTCAAAGAGTAAGACTATGTATATAACCTAGTTGTTTAGATCAAGAGAAGGTTTCTGAATTCGAACTTAAACTCATGGATCTTGATGTCGATCATCTCGGCATTCCTGTACGGCCCGCATGATCTAATAGCTCCACTTTAGGAAACTGATTATAAGTGCGTTATCAGAATGCCTGCTTCGGAACTTCAGAGAATCTGCCGCGATCTTGGACAGATCGGTGATTCTGTCGTTATTACTGTGGCCAAGGATGGCGTTGGGTTCAGCTCTACCGGCGACCTAGGTTCAGGAAAAATTAAGCTTTCCCCGAGTGGCAACGCGGATAAACCCGAGGAGTCCATTTCAATAGAGATGAGTGAGTCTCTCACCATGACCTACTCTCTGCACTACTTCAATATCTTTGCGAAAGCCGCGCCTTTGTCCAGTCAAGTGATTCTATCACTCACTGCTGACGTACCCGCAGGTATGTTAGTATATTGCACGATTACTCTGTTCTAGTCGTCGAGTTCCCGATTGAGGATTTGGGACACATACGCTACTATCTTGCACCTAAAATTGAGGACGATGAGGCGTGAAGGTGCTTGTCACGAGTTCCACTTTGTAATTGTCTAATGTGGATATTTAAAAGATCAAATGAAGTTTAATCTATTTTCGTACTAACTGCTATTCTATATTTCTGATTAACTGCTGTTTCTTCGTTATCATATCGTGGCAAAACGGCATATCTTCCCGACATTTGTCTGTTAGGGACAGGGTTACTTGTGTGTGCTTGGAAAATGTGTTTGGTGCTGTCCTGTCGTAGGTTTTCATCGGTACCTAGGTGTTCAACCCCCTCCTGAAGGGTTTCCACTCATTATTAGAAGTAAAGGATGCTGGTTTATCTCTGTCGCCTGGCGTTTGTGGCGGATGAGCCAGTGGAGGTCTAATGTCAATTGACTTGAGACGTGGGTGGTGTTGTCTTAGCTTCGGAGCGGATGTTTGAGGTGTCGTCCCGGAAGCCTGTGATGTCCGTAGTGGCTTGTGGTGTCGTTGGTGGGTTACAGATTTGTCTTCATTTTGGATTGAACGGTCGGGGTCGTGTCTCATGCGACTGGTTCCGGATGGGTCGAGCGTAAGTCACGAAGTGCGAGTAAGTCTGAGTTCGTGTCACTCAAGAATGTGTAGTTTGATTTGCGATGGGACGCATGACTAAAATGAGGCCACCGGATTCTTTGAGTCCTATTATTGGTAACTTTATGGCTTTCCTTCAAATCAATGCGACATTGGAGACTGTTCCAGCGGCGGTCGACTACATCATGGGATGACTTAATCGTCGTCTATGTTATAAAACAAAATCCTGCCTTAATGCATCACTCACTAATGTGAAGTGTTCAGTCCATTGGTGTGATAAGGGCTCAAAGTTTTCAAAACAGATTTGACTATGCACGGGTAAATGGGTAGCACAACTCCATCTGAAAAAGCAAGTTCTCGCTGATTGCTTCCCTTCCCACCTTTTGAGAATGACTACTTTATGAGCAGTTCCTGGCATTACATCTTTCAATAGTCTGTCCACTTAAGTGGAAATTAAGCAATTGTAGATGAATTGCCTGATTTAGACCTTGGGAGTTTCGATAGATGATGATACGGTAGTTGATAATAATTTATCTTTAGACGGGAATGATTTCTGCCTTTGCTGCATAACCCTAGGAAATATAGATAACAAAAAACAATGAATGAATCTAACCACGAATGACATTCAGATTTGACTCAGAAATATAGCTTTGTCATTAGTGCACTGCGTGAATAGCGTCAGAACTCGCCCATGAGGCACTTAATTACCGATTCATTACTGCGCAACTCCGTAGGTCTGGTCTGAAGCCGCAATGACAAGAGGACTGGGGGAATACTGGCATCAGCACCAGTCATTCAATATTCGTGCATGGACAAAGATATTTGACCCCTAAGGTAGCGATACACCTCAGCGTTTCCACTGTATCCGGTGTTTAGTCATAAATATGAGGCTTACAGGGAATGGCAGTGGCTTTATATGGTAGCGTCCTCAGACTTCCCTGAAGGCGAAAGAAAACAAAATACTCAGGCAGAATATATTAAGAACAGAGAAGGTGTTTGGGCTACTGGCATTGCCCGAAGGCCAACCCACCCAGCGCAGTACAGGAAGGCAAATTTGAAAGTACAAATGTGGTGCCTCACCAGTACCGAAAGATAAACCACCACCTTATAACAACATTGTTCATGACCGAGAAAAAACCGCTGAAAAAAGGGCAAGCTCTAGCACTGAGAACACTGACCTAAAAGTAGAGCCACTGTACTAAATGCAAAATCAGAAGTAGTTTTACGGCCTGAAATTTAGCATTTATTTCAGTTTTTGTAAGTCGAGTGCTGCTAAGAATTTAATCTGTATTCCAAGTTGTACGCAGGGGTGTAAAAGACAGACTACTTGTCTAAGCAAATAACCTTGCCATACAGATAAGGTAGACAGATCTGTTATCAAAATCATGGTAAGTATCAATTTAGTCGCTAGTAGCAGTTTTACAGAGGAGGTTGGGGAAATTGCCGAAGGTGGACGTTCAGTATTGCCCATAGTCCACCAGCTATTCAGTACGTCGGCAGTATTATGCCTCATTTTGTTGTCAAGTAAGACTTAGGGCGCTACACTCATCTGCAACTGCTCAAGCATTAATTAGGAATTAAAATAATGATGGCGAACATAGGATAACGGTATCAATTACTAGCATTTATAGTAGCCTTGAGATAGGACAGCGGTTATTTTAATCATTTAGTTTTTACTATTCGCCACAAACTACTATTTTTAAACAATTTATGCAGAGTAATTTAGCTGAGGTCTATTTGTTGATATGTGCCATATAAATGTTAACACTTCTAAGTTGGCCAATGGTTAGGGCCTGGTCGTTGATTGGCTTTTTTAGTTCTTTGCGTAATTTTCTCGAAATTTCATTCGCCATGACGTCGGTTTTGCCCCTATTGCGTGTATATATGTAAGCCTGCATGAAATCGTTGCCTACGTTCTTCACTAACATTATCGACTACTCCTTGTCAATTACTGAGGCGTTCCGTACTTGTACTTTCTCATTTGTCCGAAGCCGCTTTTATTTGCATGATTTAATTTCTCTGAGTGAACTACCTTGTTTCATGTATCTATGCCATTTAATTCAATAACATTAATATCAAATGAACACGCATCACACCCCTACTATGGGAATTGAATAGTCTTTACACTTATAGCTTTCCTTAACCTTTCTGTATTTTATAAGAGTAGGACACTTTATGTTGCTTATTGCTCATTTTAAAAGGTGAGAATGAAATCTAACTCCCCTAAGGAATCGAAGAAGGATCGGGATAGGTCCCTTAGTCTTGTTCCGGTGCAAGGAATGAAGGATCTCTCCCTGGATGGTATTTCATTACTTCTATTTGCAACTTTTCTTAGACATTAAGGTTACCGTTCGTGGAATACCCATTGGGCATGAGCATTGGCCAGATCTACTGCACTATGTGTGCAGTTTTAACGCGCTGGATGAAGTTTTGGTACATTGTCCTTTGGACTTCTAATAATCATCGCCTTTTCTTAGGATGACGGTCACAAGTCAGTTGGTCATTACCTTCGTCAAAATATACCCTTTTACTATCGGATGAACCGCAACGAAGAGTTTGACAATTTTTTGTTTATTGGTGGCGGTGCCTTCTCGAGGGTATATAGTGTAAGCCTTTATCGATTTTTACTAATTTCTTTGCCAATTCATTAGGCCGTACATCGTCTCGATGGAAAGACGTATGCTCTGAAGGTTATTCGTGACATTTCATCACCAAAATCACTGGTGAGTTCCCTTCTTACAACTCGTGCGAGCGATGATTTTCAGTCAGTCAGATCAGTTCTCTCGAGCCTTGTTAAGGGCTCTTTCTGACTGCCCGTCTGAGATTACTGAATTCACTTCACTTTTAGAAACATGCGAAAATTGAGGTTGACGTTTTGGCCCAACTCGATCATCCCAACATTGTTCGATACTTCAGTTGTTGGGTTGAACCCCAACGAATCGCTAACCTCGCGGTGCGTTATCTTTTCGACTACTTGTTCTTGTCCCACTTGCCAACCACAAAAAAACCAACCGTCCTTTCCATTTTTATCCCTTTGTAGTTTCAACCTTTGGATTCAAGGTATGGCTATCATCAACAACTGTAATCGGTTTATTTGAACGCTTTATTTTTAAACAGATAATCAATTATGACCTCACCTATAAACTCACACACCCATTCTGTTCTACCTTGTTGCAATCTTGTTTACTTACGTAGTTACGCGTGCCCGTGTCTGCATTGGTGTTCCCTAGTTTTCAAACGTTAATATTCCACTCATCAGGAGGGCAATTGCTCGCTTAAAATGGATCACCAAATGCGATGGGGAGAACTCACTAGATTGTGCGATCGCGCCTCTGAGAAATCATGTGGTGAAAGAACCTCTTCAGCTTATCAATGAGACGGCACGTGACGTAGGGCATTTGTTGAATCGCGAGGTTTTACCTCATTTTTGTTCATGCGAAGGGCGTCGGCCTCGTGATCTGAAGCGTTCAGACGATTCTCCTAGCCTTTACTTGTTCAGGTTTTGCTCCACCCCTAGCGACCCAGCGGAATCAAACAGGTCCTCCTCTGCAGCCAACTTCTCCTGGGTCTCAAATGTCAGTGCCGGTGATGCCAACTGCCGTCTGCTCCGTCTGGTCGACGATGAAGACGATAGCGGAAGCGTCGGCCCACGCGATAGTTGCGCCCTCGCCATCCCTGAGAATCAGATAGCCCAATTCTCGGTTGGTTAACGCTCCTCTCCCCTCTCTTATCCCCTCTGATTCACAACCGGGCCCTTTAGTTGCTTTCAAACTAAGTCTGAAGTAGATAAGGTGCGGTGTTGCGCCTTCTGAACCTCAGGGTTTAGTTCTAGTTCATATCTCATTGCCATACTTGTCCACTGAACAGTGTTATGCGGAACACCTGTCAAGTGGATTGCACTTTAACGTTTCAAATGACACTTGTTCAGGTCAGTGAGCTGAATGCGCGTCCAGTGACACTGGTTATCCAAATGGAGTTGTGTGGATCCACGCTGATCGATTGGATGCAATCGAGGAGCAAATCTCTTGCCTCCTCAACAGCGTCCGATTGTGCAAGGCCGTCGTCACTTGACCAATCCTATCGCGCCGAGGTTCGGTGGATCTTCGATCAAATAGTGAAGGGCATCCACTATATGCACCAGAAAGGCGTTCTTCACCGAGACATTAAGGTAGTGACCCCGGGTCTCGCCTCCACCACTGCTCCTGCCTTGTTGACCCTCGGTCACCTCTTTTTTAGCCGGCCAATGTTTTTATCCAGGGTCCACCACTGGCAGTCGTCACTGGCACTATGTGTTCTGCTGTGGGCGAGTTGGCTTGCACAAGTGCCCAGTGCTTCCATCGGTGCCGTGTTAAGATCGGTGATTTCGGACTCTCCACCTTCCTGGAACGATCCACCGGTATGCCAGACACTACCACTACTACACTAAGTAGTATCTACTTAACTTGTATAAGCAGCACAGTTCTCGTTAAAACTACGTTGAAGCAAACACTGGGCATAAACGGTTCTCCTTGAGCTAAATTATCTTTGCAGAGTCACAAACTCGGCCAGTTATTGAGGAAGTGCCCGAAAAGTGTGAATCAGGTCCCTCAACTGCACTTCAGACGATTCCTTCATGTCACCCTCGCCTTCTCACGGGGAACTTGGGCACGCTGTTTTACACTGCACCCGAGGTGCTGAAAAGCAATTCCAAGGGACGCTCCCTCTACAACCAAAAGGTTCGCTTACTGATAGCCGTGCAATGCTATCCTTCAGCTTGTAGACAATTCCTGATCATTTACACATTTGCAGGCGGATATGTATAGCTTAGGAATTGTATTCTTCCAAATGCTCTACCCATGCAAAACGGAGACAGAGATGGCCCGCCAGATCGACCACTTTCATGCAAACCCAGAGGCGGAGGACGCTCTCCCAAAGTGCTTAACTGAGTGTTGGCCGTTGGAAGTGAGTTGTCTTCTTCCTTCTGCATCTAGGTTTACCCAGGATTAACTGTTTTCTTTACCATGTCAGGCGAATCTACTCCGGAGAATGCTGAGTCCCAAACCCTCCGATCGACCAGAAGCAATGGAGATTCTATCGGAGTTGGCATCTACATCCCAGGTTATCGACGGCACCGGACTGAAAGACCACCAGTCTTTAAGAGGTGAACTTAGCCTAATAAACGAACTCCGGACAAAGAACGAAGAGCTAGAAAAGGAGAATGCGGAGCTGAAACGGAGACTTGGATTTTTGGCAGAGCCAAAGGAGTAGTACCAAACTTGTCGCATTGTACAGTACACGTCACAACGTTTGGATCTAACAGCATTTTTAACCAATAAATTAAGCTTTTATGATCTTACTTGTGTATATTATCGAGTTAATTATTAAAGGGGTAAAAAGGTGTCAGAACTATGAACGCACCGATAAGCTGTAAAATGCGGAACGGGAAGATGGGCGCTCACAATGAAAGCTCGCCACTTAAAAAAGCGAGGGTACTACTACCCTTGATAGGGCACGAAAAAGCTAGTACTCACGTCTCTGAAAATGGATGCAAAACGGTGGCACGCTTAACTGAAAGCAGGACCCAGCATTCACAAACCAAAAAACTGCGATGACACAAGTGAGGGGTCGCACAAGGCGTCAAAACGCAAACAATGTATTGCCAAAACTAGTTGGATTTAGCAGCTTTTGCCTTTGGGGGGCCACTCCTGAATCCATGTTTAAATCGGCGATGAACTGCCTTAAGATGAAGACAGCGACCCGTCCCCGTAGTTTTTCTTCTGCGAGCCTTCACAGACCAATTGTACTTACGAATCCTGGGAGAAGGGTACCCACAAGCAGCGCAGGTTTTCTTTTGAATGTGGTAGGACTTACGACCACATCGCCTGCACTGCGTGTGAGATTTGTTGTGACGTTTACCAAAAGATGTCGTACCCTTGGTCATTTCTAAATATTTAAAGACGAATGTAAGGAATGATAAGTAGGAGAAAGCCAAATGCCAAGAGGCGCACGCTCACCGACACCAAAAGCAGCGAAGGGGACCGCGCCAGGTAACTAAAACAAATGGCAGTGGGAGGCGATGTCAGAGGTAGAAATACCAGTTGTTAATGGACAAAAAAGGAAGAAAACGCGCAATAAACTCAAATGTTTGTATAGGAGGCATTGTCTTTCAGCCCTTTAAACCCTTGCGCTATCCAAGGGCATTAGTGCAAAAACTCTGACTTTAACCCGGGGAAGCATAACTATTTATTGTGCTTTAGAGGATTTCCGAGAGGGAAGGATATGAAAAGCCGTTTTATTGACAATTTTCTTTTTAGGGATATCTTTTTAAAAAGGGAAAATTTTATGCCTCGTCTAGGGCTTACGAAGGCATTGGTACGTCTTGCTTTCTGGAACCTAGTATTAGCCTATTAGAAAAAGTGTTTTGTTATTGCAATTTTTAAAACAGAAAATTCTTTAATACCCTGTGAGTTAATCATTAATAGTGCATGTTAATGTAGGCTTTTGATTAAGGTAAGTACATATAAATCAATGTGCCTTTGAAAAGACTGCAGCTAATTTTTTTAACGTCAGCCTTCGCAACATTAATGACTCTAGCATATGATCATCTGCATCCCTAGAGTTTGATTATGAGTGTTTTAACTACTTTGTAAGGAGGTGGCGCTACTTTCCACTCGGTCGTGTGTGCTTGGCCATCGTGATGGTTAATGTTCCAAAAACCAGAAGGACCTTTTGTAAAAGTTCCAAGTGCAAAAAGCACACACTACATAAAGTGTCGCAATACAAGGCTGGTAAAGCCGGACTTTATACTCAAGGGAAAAGGCGTTATGACAGAAAGCAGTCAGGTTTGCTTTTGCTCTCCTCTTTATACTGTAAACTTAGGCTACGGTGGTCAGACGAAGCCCATTTTCCGGAAGAAGGCGAAGACTACCAAGAAAATTGTTCTCCGCCTTGAGTGCACCGAATGCAAATACAAGCAACAGATGAGGATCAAGAGATGCAAGCACTTCGAACTTGGTGGTGACAAGAAAAAGAAGGGTCAAATGATCCAGTTTTGAATATGCATGGTCAATATGAGTTATGGTATTTGAAAAGAGCTTGTCTTTTGTGTGATTTTTTTTGCGGTCTTCTCACGTGTCCTGTTATATGGCCTTGGCATTAGGCGTTTTAGCTGTCCCATGGGTGGGGTCTCTCCCTTCGGATTATTTTGGCTTGTGTTGCTTTTCTGATCACATGTTTGCTTCACGTATTGCTTTTGTTGGTTGCTGCGGTTCATATGTGCGTTTCGTAAATCTAGGCCTATTTTTTAGTGAGAGGGTTACTGCTGCATTTTTGAACAACTTGTTTGGATTTGTGCACAACTGAATCTTTGATTTGTGTCGTTTTGACTAGTGGAGGTTTTCTTATCGTCTCTTGCCAACCTGGTGGTCCTGTCGCCTCTCGGCATTGTAGTGGGTGCGATGGTGTTGCGCACATTTCGGCTACCTGGTGAGGTGTACCATCTCCGTGGTTTTGATTCGGCTTTTGGTGTGGAAGTTGTGTTTGATGGTAAGTATCTGGAGCGCTTCGAAAATGCAAGGGTCCACTTGATGTTCAGTAACAATCCGCAATCGACTGGTTTAGATCAATGTGATCTGTGAACTTGTGTGGGGTTAGCGTCGTCGATCCTTTAGCTGTCTACTGATAGGGTAGGTTAAAATATTCAGTGCCTCAGGAGAGTAAATTAACTGTTCTACGTGTTGAGGGAGGTGGCCTTTTTCCCCGTGGTTAAGCGATGAGAGTACCTGGTGGTTTGTTGTTTGCCCTAGTATTGTCCCCTCTTAGTGGTACTCCAAAAGCCATGTTTTTATCGCCGGTGATGATGTATAGTAAGTATTCTGTGTGGGTGCGAGAACTCGGACTCGGTGTTGTAGGCTGGTGCTGACTTTCTTTGTTTCCTGCAATTATCGGGTTATTTCAGCTGTGGGCTTCTGCAGTAAGTATGCATTCGCTGAGTCTCATCACTTTTCAGGTTTGTCCCTTCGGCCCTCCTCCCTCAAGTAATGGTCGATATCTGGGATTGTGCCCGTGTCATCCGGTGGCACTAGGTGTCGGTTCCACCCAACTGATCAAACAAAATTGGTCAACTAAGACACGCTCATCTAGTCGAACCCAGTCATTCACGAAAAAGGACGAAAGCAGTTCATTTTGTTTACACGAGACTGGATTCACGAGGCTGTTTTTACACAATGGCGGTGTTGTCGAGGTGTCATCGCCGTGCCCCGTAAAGTTTGGCCTGTCCTTTTTAAGTGAATGGAGTATTAGTCATTGGATGGTCACAGGGCACAAGGTGGTGCATTTTCAGCAGATTCAAGTTTGGTGCTTACCTCGTCAAGTCTCAACCTCATGCTATCGCACTGGAGTGTGCAGTGATGCCCAGGTGGGTTGAGAATCGTCTCATTGCAATGCCACGTGAGCCTGTGCTTTTGGTGGTGTAAATACCCAATAAGGACGAAATACTCGCTTGTTTTATCCATGCAAGGATTGATAGATGTTTGCTGTCGAGATAAGTCAACTACACACCTATTTGGTTAAAGGGAGAAATGGATTCTAGACGTTGCTACTTATTTACGGTATCAGTAGGCTCACTATATTTTGAAGTCGAACAATATCTAAGTGAGCATCTTTGAAAATTATAAGGTCAGTTGAGATCAACTGTATGTTTAAGTTTCGTGAGCCTGTTTTTTTTGTTGATCCCCTCGTGTGAGGTTCTTTCTCTGTTGTTCGTGGATCGTCTTAAGGAAGTGGGCAGAGGCACACATTTGGGAGAGGGATAGTCCTTCATTATCTACGAAGTCATTTTCAAGGATAACCAGAACAAAAGTCATGCAATGTGCTTTCATGTGGAAGGTTCTTTTTGATAATTAAATAAGATGAGTTGGTACAGTAAAAGACCAGTTCTGTTACTACTTTATCACCTTTGGCCTCCTTCTTGCCAGCACTTGTTTGTGACCAATTTTTGAATGTAGTACAGTTTAAGTCTGATACTTTTTGTGAATTGAGTTATTGAGAAGACAAGTTTGTTTTTGCAAGTCCTCCGCGAGAATAATAAAAGTGACAAGGCTGCGGTCAGGCATGGCTTCCGGTGTCTTGGGCATTTGTTTTTTGACCCACGGAATTCAACGGTTACTATAGGGGTAGAGTAATCCCGACTAGTCAAAATTGAAGGTATTCTCTGACTAGGGTAGATGATCTTTATGGACCAAAGTGGCCAATTTAATTAAAATAGGGATTTTACAATTAACACATTTTAAATGAAAAGTAGAAGTGTCACGACATATAACTCCTTCCTTTTTAATGTCTCAGCATCCGAATCAGAGAATTTCACTTATTGACAGCAAATTGTTGCAATCACAGGGTCTAGGATTTACCATTCAGGGGACTCAGTGTAGAATGGAGTCGAATACCTTGGTCTCAGTAAGATCCCAGCTGGCAGCAATTCGCAGAGTGACCATTTTGGATGTATCTGTGGGGAATGAGATGGGAAAATTGCTAAAGAAAAATAGCCTAACTGTGCTTCTTACGAAGTTCTTAGGGCTGGAATCGGCATAACTATTCCGATGGAAAATTTGATCGTATCAAAAAAGACGGTTCGTTGACTAATTACCCACCAAGCATTTCTTTTGGTGTAGTTTTTTTTATTCAAAATGCTTTTATTGTCTTTAATCAGACCGTCAGCTTATAGCTTATTGCAACCCCGCCAATTATTGTCTTAGTATGAGGCCATTGTTAAGCATAGTATATCACTATTTAAAGACTGAAAAATGAAAGCAAAATATACTTTGTGCTTATATATACAGTGGTGATTCCAGAGAAACAATCTAATCAAAGCAATTTTCTGTCTCAACGCCGTTGTCGTAGACACACGCACATGCGCTCACTCTTACCGTAAATATACTTTTCAGCCCTATATGAGTACTTCAGCTTCTGCCCAAAAATTTTTCTAGCAGCAGTTAGTTTCATTGCACAGGCAGTTCGTGGAGCATGCTCACAAATTTTAAGGATAAATTTATTATATTGAATTTTTACGTTTGAGCAGTGGAAGCATTTCTGCAGCCAAAAACTAGTATATCATAATTCAACTAATAAATGTTTACTTTTGCACACAAGCCAGTAAGGCATTCTATGAGCATACCTAAAAAAGTGTCCCATGTGATGAGATGAACATGCAGATGACTTTGAAATTTGGTCAAATCAGTAGCGGCGGTCGTTGTAGATAATTTGACCTTGTGCATTGGTAGCCCTGTAAATATTCTTTACTGATAGTTGATTTAAACTGCAAAATCCTGCCGTTAATTCGTCATATCTGTGAAGACTCGGTGTGTATTTTGCGTTTACTATGTACAATAGCTTTCATGATAGCTTGTATTGTTCGCTAAACCTTTCAGTGCGTCATTCTTGTCAACTTTTTTTCTGAGTGAGTTGATGCTGTTTCAATAATTCCCTTTACTTAAGTCCTTCCTGCCCGCTTTTCTTGCTGTCCTGAACGTTCAACATTTTGCACCTTTTGGACAGTTTTCATCCTTGTTAAATTACGACACGAGTGCTATTATCCTTTTATCTTACCAAATAGTATATAGTGATGTCCTTGTTGGATATTGTTTTGACTCCTCTATAGACAAATAGCAAAGATGTTTTTGGAAGGGTGCACACCTAGACTGGCAGCGGAATTGCTTTTAATCGTGATTTTAGTGTGCGAAGCTCCTATTGTTTTTCGGTTTGTAGGTAACCTTAGCTTGATAGAAGGTCTTACAAATGCCAATGAATTGATTTTTGAGGTAGTTTGTTTGCAATGGTTTGTTTGATCGTGTTCAGTGGAGTTGTAGCTCTTCACACTAGTGGTGGGCCAATTTGGAAGACAACGTTTCCGCTTCTACGGATGTTCACTCGTCAATCCTTACACCTTCCTAGACTATTATGACAAACACTATTGAATCCTAAGGTAGCTTACCTAATTTTACTAAATGCCTTGACAACGGTAAAAAGTGAACCTTGAATGGGGGGATTATCTCCAATTCCTAAGCTGATTAACGCGGCTGAATCCATTCGGCAGTCCTGCTTTGGCGGCTATGATCGGAGGTGATCAAATTTTGCTCGAGGAGTGGCTAGCTCGCATGATTCGTATTTCTACTGCATATTTTTCGGTCGGTCATTGCATTGCTTTTTTCCAAGCTTCGGTATGACACCTGACTGGCTCACGTACATAGAGCTTTCCGAACGCAGGCGTAATGCACCTTCATTATCTAGTCATGTTTTTGCTGGTGTTTCGAGTCATTTGCACTGTAGGATGTCGCTCGGAAAGAGTACTCGGAAAGTGGCACGAGCTGAACATTCTTGATGATGCCTCAGACAAATGAAACTGATTGCTATTAACTGTATCATATCCCTGCCCATTGCTCCTTTTAGTCTTATGAGTGGATCCCGCTACATAGTGTCTGTCACCCAGTAGCCTCTTGGCGCTGGTAAAAACGATCGTTCTGAATTGACATTCCTCCAACCTCACAGTATCTTCCATTTTCAGTGGCAATGGATGCTTCGAATGAGCTCGCAAACGCAGCCAAAGTTGACCCCGATGGATATGCGTTGGATGACGATGTCGATTTGACTAACATCGCTCCAATGCCAAAGCATGTCTTTTTAAACACCTTACCCGGGTAATTAGCAGTTCCTTCTCGCTATAAAAGGTCAAAAGTAATTGCCCTCTGGCCTTGTGTATTCTTCACTCCTCAACCCTTCTAATTTTTTTCATAAAAACTGCAGTCTTGGTAATTTCGGTCTGCCTTTTAGCATCTGTTCTTGGGTCTGCCTTATCACTGAGTACTACTAAAACTGTGCTTAAAATTAAATTGGAGTTGGCTCTCCACGGTCTTTGCTCATGCTTCATATTTTCGACTCACATTGTCCTTCTTAATGGCATTTGTTAAGTAGCAATGTTTGTTCATTTACGTTTAGCCACTTGGCTCCGTTCCCTACCATTCCACGAAGTCGTTACGACACAGATCGCAACCAACGCGAATTTTACGGCCAGGAGTCCTTCCTAAACGCCTTCATTACCACACACTGTCGTGAACATACCAGTGCACCAATTGTCAACGGCTTGACCGAGTCGCAACAGCATCAGCAACAACAACAGCAAAGCAGGCGGGCACCCAGTGCTCCGTTGAAACGCAACCAGTGCAGTCTCTGTTTACGCGTTTTTGCCAATTCGGCCAGTTTGAAGCAGCATATGCGGTTACATCGTGGCGAGAAGCCCTTTAAATGCCGCTTTTGTGACAAGACCAGTGCTACCATGTGCAATATTCTCACTCACGAAAGGACGCACACGCGTGAGAGGCCCTACAAATGTACCCTCTGTAGTGCCGACTTCAGCAGCTCCAGCAATCTTAAGGTAGGTTTGCATATTTTTGCTACTTAATTTAGTTTAAGTAGTGTATGAGTTTTCAAGCACGGAAGCTTGGAGCCAGTCTTAAGCGTTCGGAGGGACGAGGCGAAGTGAATGTCCAGTGCCTGCTTAAAATAGCTATAAGTAGCATTTTTGTTGGAGAATGTTATACCTTACCTATCCCATTTTGACCAAAGTTGAAATCCCCTCATTCCATAACAAAAGCACAAATGATGCTGTACCTGCAGACACATATGAGGACACATTCGGGTGACCGTCCATTCCGCTGCAACCTCTGCGACCGACGATTCGTCACATCGAACGCCCTCACCACACACTTGCGCGCCCACTGGGGCCTTCGGCTACACCCTTGTCCCGACTGCGACCGCCAATTCTCCACCTCCAGCAATCTCCGCGTTCATCATCGGGTGTGTCATCACCGTGTCTGTTAATGATGCTGCTGCTCTGTTTTTGTACGATTCCTATAATAAGCCTAGTTTGACTCGCATGGCGCACACATTCACCTCTTCTGCAGTAAGACCAGTCCGTGTGTAGGAGGGGGAGCAAAGGAGGTGATTAATGGCACATTCCTTTAAAGTAAAGCATGTTATCCGGCCATTAGTCAGTATCTCGCTGCAATTTTTGTGATTAATGTGAGGAATAGCGAGAATGGAAAGAAAACGCAATACTGGAGCAGAATATGCATTAAAGGTTCATAGACGAACCTAGGCACTACTGCCATGGTTTGTAGGCCATGCGACCCTGTGAAAGTACAATTGTGGAGCTTTAAGTGTCCGTAAAACCACACCGAAATGCTAAACAAGTAATCAAACCGTTACATGGCCCCTCTCCTCCCCTTGGGTAGCACTTCACGTCGATGTTGTAAGAAAAAGCACCCTCGAACCAACCGTGCCAATTATTGAATTTACATGCAACTAGGACGATATTTAACCGCAACGTCGCTGTTCCCTCTTGGCGATTTCACTAAATCTAGAGCTTCGGTTTGGGAACTGTATCGTGGGAAGGAGGAGTGTGCAGGCCATTTTCTATGTCCATCGCTAGTCGTAAATACACTGGCCGAAATTGGGATCAAATAACGAAGGATGACGTTTAAAATATTTTTGTGAAAATGGGGTTCCTTGTCTGTTCCCCCTTGCTACCTTGTTCTCACTTCAGTGCTGCCCAGCCATATATCCATCTGGGTTCCATCTAGCTAATCGAGAGGTGGAGGAGGCATTGCGTATTTGCTTAATTGACATCTTTATCCAAGTACCGTAACAAACTTATCCAATTGTTTCCTGCAGAACACAATACTGGGGTAGTTTCCGAGGCTAGGCGTCATTTTCAGCTCTTCTATTAGAGTTCGTCACAGATTAGCTCTTCGGCAGTATACGTCCCTCTTCTGTTGCCCTACGATTTATTTTTCAGTAATAGAACTCCAGGTACTCCCCTTTATAATCGGGTTTGCTTTCCGTTGCAACGACTGTATTGTTGAATGATAGTTTGGCAATCGTGGTATAATGCTAAGTTTTTTTTACGAAATTGAGCTTATTCTTACCATATTTTTGAACTTGTAGTGTTTCGGAGAGATTTGAAGGTACATTGAAGCGGTGAAGGTGAAGTTATGGCACTTAACCAGTCATGCACAAATATTTTTTGCTTGTCATTTTTTAAATTCACCAAAACCCAGCCTTCAAAGTGCGCTCTAGAGGTGCCAAATTTTTAAGGTAAACGTGAACAGCACTGCCGCTGATACAGGGGAATGGTGTGCAAAGGGAGGCAAAATTTCTTATGTACGGTTTCGCGCCCTAAGTTTAAATGGAAGCTACTATCTCTACCGATGTCTGTATCATGCTCATTCGGAGTCTGGGTTAGAGCCTACTGGCGATTCTTGGAGTTTCGTTCCTGCGTATTTCAATTCATCTGTTAAAATTGTATCGAAGCTTGACTTGCCTAGCAGTCTTTTTCGGATGACAGCTTCAGGCATGTGATCTGCACCTATTGAAAGCAAAGCTCCCTTGGTGGTTTCAAAAAAACTACACTTTGTTCTTTCTCGAACTTTCCGTGCGCCCGCTTTTTACGTTTCACAAACTTCCTTGTGCCCATAGGTTTCACTTTTAAAACCCCCAAACCTGTACTTTAAATCATCCCCCAACCAGTGTTAAAGCTAGAATCATCCTTTCTTATGGCTGGGAGTCTTACATTAGTCTTTTTCGCTCACCCTGACCCACCGTTCGGTGATATCTAATAAAAAGCGATTTCTCATGAACCCTTCTCTCCGTTCAGTGTTTGGACTGCATCGGTATGGATTGACCTCAGCCGTGTCACGGCAGCATGTCAATCGGTTTGACATTCTGCGTACGCGTCATATCAGTTACCGTGATAGGTCTCTTCAGCTCATGCCCTTTCAATCGGAAGACGCATATATGTGTGCACTTTATGGCACTAAATTGTTTTTTTCTTTTCCTGCAGATTATGCTGAATCATTGGGACTTCTCTGTAGTTCGCTTTTTTTCGATGACCGTACATTTAGCCAACCTGGTGATATTCAGCCTTATAATGCTATGACACCTGGTATTGTTTTATGGATGGATGAAGGCAGGGTCGGTTTAGTCCTTATGGGACACTTTTTTCTTAAATTAAAATGATGCTTTCTGGTTAACACTGTCAGGAGCTGATCCTGCGGAATAAGGTGGTTCTACCGGTGGCCCATTATTTCTAGTATTGCCGTGATTATACGCCTGGCACAATGTTAGCGTGGCTCGTCCTCCGATTGCCTTATCAGTGGCCCCTCTCAGAGAAACGTTTTCAGGGCGAATGTTTATTCTTGATAGAAGGAAGCATTTGTAATAGCCTTTTCGTCTAAAAGCAGTTGGTTTTTTTTCTCCAAACTTATCCTGACTGTTTGGTTCTTTGCCTTCCAGACGGTGCACCTGGGGATAAAGCAGTACCACTGTATGGTGTGCGGCAAGTCCTTCGCGACGAGTAGCAACCTCAATGCTCACTCTCGACAGCACCCCGAGTCAGCATATCTGGTCAAGTATACCGGATCCTCCACCTTCTGTCCGTCCACCCAACAGTCCACCGACACCACGGTAGGTGCTCTTCATGCCCTAAACTATTGTGTCTCAAGTCAATGCTCATTTGGACGGCCCTCCGTGGACGGAATTGTGCGGCTCTTAACAGCCTAGGAAAATATCATTCCACCGTAGGAACAGTCTATTTAAGCTTAAGCATCTGGCAGACAAGTAGGAAGCGTTTTATTTACATTTGTAAACATAAAACATTGTGGAGAGTTTTTTCTTTGCGTGGAATTCCGAGTTCACTCAAAGAAGTCGGCTTATTGGTGGAGGAGCTGATTGGCTATAGGCATGAACTGGACGCCGTGACGCCAAAGTGGTGGCCAAACCGCACACGATTGAAAGGCTTGTGTGGTTAAACAAAGAAATAAGCGTTATTTCACTTCGATGCAATAGCTTTGTGACCTAATATCCTATTTGGGATATTCAAGTGATTGAAACGGTAAGCGCACGAACCTTTACAACTCCAGTGTCTGTGATAGCACCAAGAGCTTAATGTTGGAAATTTCTGTCGCAATAGCGGAGTTATTGTGAAATGTCCCTTTTTGACGTGTTTGCTATCGATGGTGGAAGTGTGGCGTCCCCGATTTTTAGTCGAGCCTGGCGTCACAAATATGTGACACTTTGTGCTAACTAATTTCAGCGAATTGTGTGTTGCGCAAACATTTTGTTTAAGTTCAAAACAATGAGAAGTGGATGTAAGATGTTGGAAGAACAATTCCATTAGGTTATTTTTTCAGCAGCAGTTAAATCGTTATGGTTATCAGTGCGAGTGTTGCTTCCATATTAGACTAATAAATATCTGTGCTGTAGTGATAAGTTTTCTCCTGAAGCCCTAGTGACGAGTCTGGATAGTTGTACTTGGGCTACCAGGTGGATTTCTGATAGTTTGTGGCTCAGTCAGAATTCACGTCACAAGAGTCTGGGCCCCTGTTCGCAATACTTGGGTAGGTGTCATGAAGAGGTTGACAAGCTTCCACAGCAAAGTAACGAAGGAAGGAATAGGTAGAACCAAAGATGAGCCCCAGCCACTTTGATTGCGGTGTCAAGAAGCTTCAAGTTACCGTAGGTTAAGAAACCTTCAGTTTTTTACACATCCTCTCTCGAAAGGTTTTGATTCATCAAAAAGCACTGCAGAGCTAATGGCCTCCCATTTCCTTCAAATGGTCCTTAGTCATCCTTTTTTTGCCGTCGTGTTTACGGCTTACGCTGTTGTTGTTGCTCTTTCATGTGTAAATCATCAAAAGCGAAACGCTGTCCGAAAAACTTGTTGAGGACTCCTCCCCCTTTAACAGAAGGCTGAAAGGTCTGAAGAAGTACCCGAACACTACACCTGACATGTTACTGTGACAGTGGTGAGAAAATTTGGCAAATTCATTTTACCACAATCTCACGCCTATGAGCTTTTGGCTATGTTTTTTCAGTCATGTTTGTCTCATAAATTTCGTCCAATCAAGTTGAGGGATTGGGGTAGTTGGTTTGGAAGACCTTAGCAACAGCTGAAGTCTCTGATCGTGGTTCACAGCTTACGCATGAGTACGAATGCTTGCTTCCAATTTATACACATTACGGGGTCCACACTCGGTGCGTCGAAGCGCTCGCAAGTCAGCTTTCTGGACTTTTGCTGGGCTATAGTTATGGCTGACAGTGTTTTGAAATCCATGTAGGCCAATCTTGGGGGTGTTGGTCCACCACTAGCCTTGGTTTTTATTCGATCTGTTGCCACGTGGCAACCCAACTACGCTTCCAGCCAGTCCTCCCCCTTCTCTTCCCCATAAATAATCAAAAGCTTTTGCACGGCTGTGTTAGTACATCGCCCCCGCAGGGGTGCACATACACCCCCATGGGCATGCATGGCATTTCCCGTAGGGCGAGTCGCCTATCAGCGTTATTAGCAACTTCCTCTTTTCCAAAATCCCTATTTTGTGGTGTCTTCACGCACATTCGGTGGAATTTCCTCATTCGGAAAAATATGGCGTCTTGGGTTACACTGCCTTGCTCTTTTATGGCCTCACCTTCCTCGTTTTAGCGACTCCTTCATTCTGACGATGGTGTAGGGCCATGATTCTTGCTAAGATGGCCTGTTCAAAGAAGTGCCATTTATGATTGCAAAGTTCAAAGACACGTTGAACCGCCTTCTTTGAAATCCCGAAAAATGTTTTGGTTTACGTCCTCGGTACGCAGCTTTGAGGGAGGGGGGAGAGAGGTGGATGTTGTGCAACACTAGTAGGAAAACCAGTACAAAAAACATGGTCTGACTGTAGCTGGTAATGTGCATGTCGCCACAGCAGCGCTGAAGGTAGGTGTAGCTAATTCCCAAGGCTGTATCGGCTGAAGGTCACCTTTAAATTCTACTCACAGACTGGAATTGACTGAAAGAGTTTTTTTAAAAAGACATTTCCATAGGAGGCATATCTGTGGAATCGGCCATGCACAGCGCTAAAGTAGGAGAATGATTGATGTAGGAGGTCACTTAATCTCCTATTCACCGACAACTTCATAACTTTTCAGGTAAAAAGGAGTTTGCAATGAAACCGCCTTATCGGTGAGTGGGTAGATCAAATGTGGTGTCAAGTGTGTGTAGGTCCCCTGTAAGGATATCGCAAAAGTGCGATCTGAAGCCACCCACCCAGTGCGTTGGAGGTCAGGGTGGTAGTGACACGCCTTCGCTCTTGACCTAGATTTTATCTCCACTTCTACCGTGTCAGGATTCGTTTTTCTTGAAAATCCATCGATGCGCTGCTTCGCTTTCTGGAAATCCATAGCTATTTGGACTAAAGTCTAATTCCTGAAGAGCCACCAAGACCACGGTGGATCTCCGAGAACGTCAAGAAGCAGCGCTGTGAAGCCGTGATTAATACACCTTGCTCGTAAAAAGTTTGAGAAGCGAATAGAAATTAAACTTTGATATTTGTCGTCCCCTTTTCAGGTGGTAAATGTTGCGGAGGTCGAATCACCAGTAGAGGCGTCAGTGACGGTAGCAACCACGACGACAGCAGCGGCCGCAGTGGTGTCGGCGGCAGCGGTGGCTGCGGCCGAGGAGAATGGAGAGGAGGCGGTGGGTATGCTGGTTACACCAACTGGCTACAACCACGCCCCCACACTTCTACCAGTGACGCTAAGTCCGAGCCCCGTGGGGACAAGTCGGAAGTTCGCCAAAGTCACTGTCTACTGCCCTGGCGATGTGGAAATCGCGGCCACCGCCACCTCCTCCGTCTCCTCGTCCGCCTCCCATGGCAACACAGCCAAACTCGCGCCTGACGACTAGGTGATACCTCCACCGCCCCCCTCCCCCCAAAGCCTCCTGGTACTCCTTTTTTCTACATGTATATAGGTACTCACCCACCACAGCATTCACCGCTACGCATTCGAATTGGGATCGTACTCCCCGTTACCTTCTCCTTCCCCCTGTCTCTTCCTCTGTGTGTGTAATCACTCCGGTGGTTGTCACGTTAGTGAGTTGAGGTAAGACCTCCCTAAATGCACACTTTCCTGTGTCCGTAACAATGAATTCTTTGGAATTTCTTCGAACACTTGGTGGTAACTTATACTTTCCCCGTAGGGGAGCTGGTAATAGGAGATGCTCAGGGTTATGGTCACTTTTTGAGTCCATCCATTCGTGTGATCTCCTCTTGCCGACAGGGAGGCAACTCAGACAACCACTGCTCGAGCAAGTCAAAGATGTTTTTACTGGTGGAGGAGAGATAAGTTCTCCCCCCCCCCTCCCCCATGGGAAGGTTGGGGTAGAGTAGTCCCTCAAAAACCTTCATTCATGCTTCATCAGTTCGTCTCGTGATATTACTAGGATTTTGCTATCGGTTTTAGATGGGTCTGTTACTACCCCAAGCTCAGCCAATGAATCGCATTTAATGACAAGCTCCCTCTGCCAGCGTCGCGTCTGACGTGCAGAAGGGCCGGGGGGCCGTGTCGCCCAGGGGAGGTACAACTGTGGAACCTTAAGGGTCCGCGTAACCAAAACGGTAGAGGTAAATAAGCAATCAAAGCATTATATGGCCTTCCTCTCCTCTTTTAAGTGTCGTCGTCCTTCCTGCGCTTCAAAGCTTTTTCCACTGCTTAGTCGTAGACTTATGCATTGATAACGAGACCACCTTCCAGACTGTGTCATGCGATTCCTTCGTGATAATGTACAAACACTTTTTCTCAAACGGAATTGTGAAATGCTTCTTTGGTTTCCGCGCGGAGGAACTGGTGACACTTAGTAAAGGTGTAATCGGAGAACCGCGCCGATCGGAAGCAGTCGGCTGGAATCGCAAGCCCTTCTACGGTCTGTAACGGATATTGAGCTTTTATGACTGAGGCTTGGGGAACGGTGAGGTGTAAGTAACATCCAGATTGTATGAATTTCATGAATCAACAAGAAAGTGGGTTGTCAGCCTTCCAAATCCTCATTCTATTTGGGGAAGACTTTTCAATCACGACAGCCTTCCTTGGATTAACCACCGTGAAGCCACGACGACAACACGCAGGTGGTTATTTTAGGCGAAAAAAGAAAAAAAATGGCATGTTTTGACTGTTAAATGCTGATACAGCTCGCCTTTGGTAGCTTTTAGCAATTCAGCTGGATAACCCGGGCTGACCTGACTGAACAGATGGCTTGGTCGCTGATGTAGGAGTCAGTAGTATGATCCACCCCTACTGGAACAGCTGCATTGGTCGCTGATACGTGAGGTAGTGGTACAAGCTATGCAGTAAAAGTTCCAGCAATGCTGTGATTTGAATGACTAATGCTGATAAAGTTTATTTTTGGGAGGCATGTTAGCAAGTTACATAGGCAACCCGAGCTGACCTTCTGACGAAAGGCAAATGGCGAATGGCTGACTTGGTCGCTGATGTGGGAGGTAGTAGTATAATCCGTGCAGTTAACAGCCCAGCAATATTAGACCAGTTGTAACAGGTCTAAAAGGAAAAAAACTGGATGCATTTTATGCCTTAAATGAAAGAGCTCGAGTTAGGTGAAAGATCGGTAATTTCGGCAAATATCTTTCTTCATGGGCGTCATGACATGGAAGAGGTTGTACGTGATTGTAGACTTCGCACTTGCGAGATATAAGGGAAGGTGTTTGGGGTAAAGTCCTTGAAACAAAGGTGGGAACATAGAGGGGTCCAGGAATGGTTGCAAAAGCGATATTATTCATCTAAGGGGTGCATCCGATGCTGACCCTCATCAGAATTCTTTGCCAAAACAGGTCAATCGTTTATTGCCGACTATTTTGGTTGCCTGACCGATCAAACTCTTGTGAGGTGAGGGAAAAGCCATTTGACTCCATTTGAGATATATCACTCTCTATCTGCGCTCCGATGTCAAAAATGTCGTCTCTGGCACTCCTCTTGATCAACCTCCCTCATCGACCATCGTAATGCAGCCGGAGCTGTTGGAAAACACCCCACGAACGTGGAAGATATTCGATATCTCCTGCTTATTCCACTGGGTCAGGAATTTTGCCCAGTTAGGGAATTGTATTGGGGGAAGGAGGGTTACCCTGGACATCTCGTACGTCCATCGCTAGTCGTATAAACACTGACCTCATAGCGGAACCAATCAACACAGGAGGAGCTTTGAGTCTATTTGCGTCTATTCTTTCATGTCTCCTTGATCTCACCTCATTTCCGTCCAGCTATACTTGTCTATCTGGGTTCTATCCGGCTGCGAGAGAGGTGGAGGAGGTGTTGCGTGTTCACTTCATTGACATCTTCATGCGGGTAGCGTTGACAGCTTCGTTACTAGCATTCTGGCAAAACACAGGACTAGAGTAGTTGCCGAGGGTAGACGTCACTTTCAGCTCTTCCGCTGGGGTTCATCACAGATTCTCCCATCCATACCAGGTACCCTCCTTCCGTCACATTAGAGTTTGGCATTGAGGTATAGAAGTCAGAGAAGTTGTCCTTCAGAATCGTTTTCGCTCGCCACTGCCATCAAGGTGGCGCCTGAGACACATCTGACAATGAAATGAGACAATTCTGAGTCCGAAAAGTGTGTTGTCGGTGTACAGGAAGGCTCTTTGGAGCTTCTGGCTTCGCCCGGAGGCCATGTCACCCAGTGAAATTACATAGTGTGCTATTCATATTCACAGTAATTTAGGGAAAGAAATGGCGAAGAACTTGTTACAAATGTGTCGTCCAGAATGCGCTTCTTCAAAATAATCAGAAAATGGGTAGAAAGGCTATCTTTTTTAACAGCTATTCCAGTCGGGAAGACGGCTATACTAGTTGAAAATGTCACGTCCTTCAAACTGGCTGTGTTTGCTCCTTTGGTGGGGCTTACAGTTATCTAAATGTCAAATCTGTTCCTTTTCCACGCAATTTTTGTCCTTAGACGCTATTTGTCTAGCTTATTCGTTAGTGTTTGAGGAGTTTAAGTACTTTAAGTCTCTGAAGTGGGGAACTCTTGCTTGGAATACGGCGGAAGAGGAAACTCAGTCAGCATTCCAAATGGCAGGCGCCCTGACGGTAAAATTAGTCAACAGCGAAATGCGACAATAACATTCCCAGTTTTACATTTTACAAGTCAGGCTCTCCTCCTTTCGCGGCTTGGGTTTTCATCTCGGAGGCCCAGCGTTCTGTTCGTGGCTTTTCCGTTGACAATCCGCTCGCCCTATTGAACACGCAAAGCGGCTCTGTGGTTGGAACGGCGCAGTTTACAACACCCTCAGGGAGGACTTTGGCGCCAGCGCGAATTGAAGGCATTCACAACAGCTGGAATGGCTTTATTTGTGCCGAAGGGCGCGGTTGAGTTACTGATGACACATATGGTAGGGGGAGAGGGAGAGCTCCTGGTCACCAACGTGGATGTCAAGTCGCGGAAGGTGGAAAAGCGATCCAGCCAGTATTTTCAGGTCCACAGCAGGAGAACACAAACTACTATGATCTGATTGGTGCTTGTTTTACATTAATCGGGTTTATCTAAATTTGTGTAACCCTGTTGAGACTAAACTGAGTTTTGTATTAGAGAGTCAAGAGAAGTTTTCAATGTCCCCATTTCGACTCCACCATTGTCTGCCCGGTGATATGCCTCAGGGGCAAGCCAGCGGCTATTCGACCTAAGAGAAGGCTGGAAGCGCTAATTTGGTACCAGCTACTCTGCTCTTTACTCCCAAAAGCTGAATCTTACCGTTAAAGAGTATCATAGGCTACAGAGGAACGAATCTGTGACAGCCACCAAACAGGAGGGTTTGACATGAAGTCTACTCTCGGTAAAGATCGTAATTCCGTATTCTGCCGGAGTGCTAGTACCAACTGAAGCATCACCAGCAGCGAACCATCTGTAAGAGTTCGTTACGGGGCTGTCAACGCTACCCGCAACACCTCCTCCACCTCTCTCGCAGCGGGGTAGAACCCAGTTAGACAAGCATGGCTGGGTAGCAATGAGGTGAGATCGAAGTGGCAAGAAGGAACAGACGTGAAGCCTTATCCCCACGAATGCACCCTAAACTTTTCCTCTGTTGATTGGTTCCGCTATTAGGTCAGTGTCCGTACGACTAGCGATGGACACGCGAGGCGGCCAGCACATTCCTCCTTTACCCCGAACCAGTTCCCAGACAAGACAATACTCCAGACCCAGTGAAATCGCCAAGAGGAATCAGTGATGTTGGGGTCAACCCGCATCTCCAATGCACGAAACCCCGGTGACTGAAGCGATTGGTCTGTGAATAGTTTTCTGACAAAAAATACATTGCCGAACTACAGAATGGCTAGGGGCTGTTTGAATGGTTTGGTAGCCATTACACCTAGAGGGAGGTCAAAATCGGAGCCTTAAGTGCTTGCAAAATCTAAAGGAGGAGCCAAATAGTCAAAGCACTGTGCACCTCCTTTCACCTTTCAATCGTTATCCTCCGCCCTCCCCTTGATCAACTCCTTGTGTCAGTCACCAAGGTTTCGTGCATCAGAGATGATATTAGGCCCCAACTTCACTGATCCCTCTTGGCAATTTCACTGGATCTGGAGTATCGTCTTGCCTGGGAACTGCGTCGGTGTCAAATATCGTCTCCGGTGCATGAAACCTCGGTGACTGACGCGATTAATTCGTAGGTAGTTTTCTGACAGCACTGACTACATTGCAACGGTCAACGCAGGAAGGTGATCAACGGGAGGGCGGATGATGGCGATTGAAAGGAGAAGGGAACTGTGTAGTACTTCGACTATTTGACTCCTCCTTTAGGTTTCGTGAGCACTTAAGGTTAAGCCTTTCGATCTCCCGCTAGGTGGAATGGCCTTTGGACCATTTCAGCAGCCCCGTCCCCTCTGTAGTTCGGCAATAATGTTTTTCTGTCCAAGTACTACACCTTCTTTCATTCTAAGAAAGGACTCGAAGCGCCACATATATAACCGGGAATGCAAATTTCTTCCCATCTTGAACATCAAATCGCCTTTATTGTTGCCGTCTCCATATCAGAAGGACCAATTTTTCCCATCAGCTGCATTCCAGGTTCTTAAAACTGCACGCAATCAAAACACATCCTCAAATGACTATTTGGGGAGTTTTTCTGCAAAAATGTGTGAAAAAAAGTGGCGTCGCACGCGGTTCACATGGAACAGCCACATCGGTCTCAACCGCGAAAAGGAGAAGTGAAAAGAAGCAAATTAAACTGAGATGCTGAAACACACTGAGGGGGAATCGCAGAACCGGGTGTGTAGATGGTTAACCATTCACAAGCTTGTCACCACTCACAATAGAATGAGGCGGGATTCTTTGTGCATTCTTTCCTGGATATGACGCTCGGCTTTGGGTGCTTTCAAAATTTGGCAAGCAGTCCCTGTGGATTTGGAGCCAAATTCTACGTCTTGAAGCGGAAAACCTCATTTGACATTCATTTGATTCAAGCAGCCCTTTTGTCTGGGTTTTAGACTTAACCTGAAAGCGGCAGAGAACAATAAAGAGCACCTCACCGACAGCGATCGCCTGCATACAGGAGTGGTTCATTTCCAGGGGCTGCATCAATAGGCCCCATGAACTTTGTGGTCAACTCTGAACGTCTTTAAAGAGCACCCGCCTCAAAGTCCGCAAGGGACTCGAAGGGAGAAATTCATGTTTGGAGACTGGCTTAATTGCCTTCTTTGGGAAAGAGGTTTGAAGAGCCCAACTCTTTCCACGCGAAAGAAAGGTTATGCAAAATGTCCTGGAAAATCACTTCGAGATTAAGGTGTAAATCCAACGGTTAAGGCGATAACAAGATCACTGCACCAACCCAGTTCCAGACGTCACAAATACTTTTGAGTTGCAGATTAGTTAGGGAAGTCCTGCACTCTAGTGGAGGGATAGGAAACACCCACAACTGTCCTGATCCGAGAGGATAAAGAGCCTGGAGTAGATGCCTCCATCGCCGACGTACCGAGGCGGCAAAGAGGGTGCAGTCAATGCGTAGGAGCCTGGTGGTTAGAGAGCGGAGACTGCCTGAGAGTAACAATGCGTCTATGTGTGTCAGCGGTTTCATCAATCTGACTGACCTTGACCTTCGAGTACTTAGAAGTACACTTAGAGTACCACTCTGCCCGGCTGATAGGGACGAATCAGGCGAATCGGAGCGAGAGCACTACCCTCTGAAATATTCGGGGATTATTTGATAACAACCGGAACTTCCAAAAAATCGAACAGGAACATTTTTCAGGGGCTGCAGGTGCCCCCAGCCATCTCACATTACTGTTTATCATGGTTTTGAAAGAAAAGCAACCGGGAATCTAAATGCAGCGTATTGGATTTTTATTAAGGAAACAGATCCTTCGGGTAGAATTACACGACTGCATTTAATTACTTTGGCGATTTCTCCGCAGTGACGCACTTTACAGCTCATTCACTGCTCGTTTCTTGCCATCGGGCTTCAGCAGTTAAGGTAGTGCGCCCATGTAGGCAACGCAAAAGGGTCTTCGTGTTTTATGGAGATTTTATGAGAGGATAAGAGGTTTGATGAATCATATCGTTCCGACCTAATAAACGCCACCGATACGAATAAAAAGACTCGGTGGAAGATTAACGGCAACTTACCTCTTTGCCCACCAAAGCCTTACGGAATGGGTAAGTTATTGGGCACTCCTACTGCTTTGTGTGCCAGTAGAGCAATGCAATAATAAACCCACTGGCTAAGAGTAGCAGAAATTTACTCCTTAGAGGCTATGAGAAAGAGAGCAGAGATTTAACAGACAAGTAGACATATATTCTGTGAATATATATGCACATATACCCACGATTGTATACATATCAAAGCAAAGCTCGCTATTTGGGGCATTCAGTGGTTAACGTCTCACAACTGCAATGTCGCACACGGCTTGGAGGCAGGAAAAAGTTGGGGATGGAGGCAGAAAAAGTGGATTTGAAAAACGAGCGATAAGAATACACGAATAAGAGAACTCAAGAGCGAAGGAGAAACGTGGGGAATGAAGACCGTATGTGGATGTGAACATTTATGCCCTCCAAGTGCCTTCTATCTTTACTCAGCGAGAGAGTTACGTGAGTGTTGCGAGATTACTGGACCGAAGAAGGTCTTGTAAGGACTGGCCGGATCCTCTCCCAAGAAGTATTCACACCATGCTGAGAGATATTCATCACTGCTTATCTTGCCATCTTTATCAGTGTCCAAAACCTGAACAACGAAAAAGAGCTCGATTAAGAACTCGTCTTAACAGTTGCTAACTTGCCCTCTGACTTGTAGATCACAAACCTTGAACATGCCCTCAGCCTCAGCGCGACCAACTCGCCAGGCCTCTTGCAAGTTACGGTACTCCGCCATCGAAATGAAGCCCGTGCCTTCAACCTCAACGGCTTTGAAGAACGTCCAACCGAACTGGTCGATGGCGTGTCGAAACTCGCCATTAATCATCGACCGAAGATTGTGGATAAAATCCTTTTCCATGAGCTCTGTGAAGTGAGCGCCTACAAAAGGGGAACCAGTAAACCTCAGGTAAATGTTTCGCAGGGTGGGAGGAAATACTAAGACGGATAAGTAAATCTCAGTAAGTAACATGCTTGTTACCATTGGGTAAACTTGACGGATGATGAATAACTAAAAGCTTATGAGCATGCGGAAGGATCTTGCTAAACCATAACAAATCCTTCGATAAGAACTAAAATAAGTAGGCATACGACAGCAAGTAAAACCTCAAAGTAAAATTGGTTGTGCGATTCCAGTCATTACCCTGTGCTGGTCCTCATACATACGAAGTATAAGCATAATCTTTCGGGAAAAATAAGCTCCCAGGGTGGAAAAGCCAATGGTGGGCTACCCACTCTGAATAAGCTGATGCAGAGGACAAGTAAGCGCCCACTAAAATCCGAATAGGTGAAGGGGAAAGTGTTAGTTGAAGAAGTAAAACAAGTGGTGAAAGCAGCTGCAATAGCGGCTTTAAGCCCATCGTGCTGCCGTTCTCCCGGAAAGTTGCTGACCAAATATGATATAGAAAAATAGGCATTGAGAGGGATCACGAGGCAAATAAACTGTGACCGCATTTTTCTAGCACGAGATTAATGCTTTTTAACTGCGAGGGGCCTAATGCAGTAGCTTTACTGTCAAAAATAGGCAAGGACTGAACAAATCTACGGACAAACGCAAGTAGGTACCAAGATTTGACAGAATTAACATTCCTTTATCCCAAAAAATGATGATGATTGGGCATCAGCAGAATGGAACCATGAATGCACATTACCGTAGAACCGGCTGAACGTAAACAAGTGCTTCGCAGGATGGGAAGATCGAATGCAATTTCTGTGCACAAAGCAAGTCGATTATGTGCTTTGAAACCAGCCCAATAAGTGCGCTGAGGGCATGTAAGATGAATGTGCTTGCAGACAAAACGCTGGGATTAGTTTTTTTTTTTCATCCTGAGTTTCGAAAACTGGGGAAAGTGTGCTAGGATTTCTGAGGATGTAGAGACTAACTACAATGCACGAAGGTGTTTGGGTAGTGCAAAGTGATGAGCAGAAACGTGCTTCAGCATAGAATACGCTAAAATAGGCGCCAGAAATGAATATAAAGAGGAGGGGCTTTTGGAAGTCAAAAGAAATGCCCAAAAATATGTTACCTTATCATTGCAATCACAGTATTGCTTCTCGATTCCTCCTTCTCCTTTTTTATGCATTACATGCAGGAACTTTGTTCCTCACGATGTGGCGCTTTAATGATATGAAACTAGGGTGACTGTGATGCTTTGTTCAATATCCGTGTATTGCTATCCTTCATGCTGATAAGTTGCTAGGGTTTATCCCCACAAACATACCGAGAGGGAGTCAAAGGCATGCATGTAACTACTTCCAAACAAACCCGTTTCTCCTTTTTCAAAGGCTTGATTAAAGAAGAAAGACACGTAGGATTCGTCAAGAAGAAGTCATCCATTGTTTACCGAAAATGGTTTACACAAAAGCTTACCTCTCTTTGACGAAATAAAGGCATCAATCGGATTCAAAGAATAAAAAACACGGTATTTCGAAGCCTACTTTAACACCCACAGGGAGATTTGTACTAGGTTAGTGCCATTTTAGAGGTCTACCCCTAGTATTAAAGTAAGTTTCAGGCGAGCATATCAATGAGCATCTGTGATGATGCGCAAGAGGCAACATTAGTGACATCAGCCCAGCTATTTCGGTTGCTTAGAGGTCATGGTAGTCCTCTTACCATCTTTGTCAACAGAGAAGTAGTGCACCCAGATGTCCAGCATGGCACGCATCACATTGTCCGCCTTGTGCTTTGGCAGGTGGTTCCGCTGGGCCAGAGCTCTGCCAATTTGAATAAAGTCATGACAACGCAGCTTGCCCGATCCGTGTAAGTCCAGTCTCCGGAACATGGTTCTCATCTTTCCCTCCCACACTGGGCCGCATTCAACCTCTGGATAGTCTTCAGGTCGTTTGTAGTTGATGAGAGCACCAAAAAGCTTCGCCGTCTTGCCTTTTATGCCCACATCGAAGAAGTACTCAGCAAGGATGCCCTCAAATTGACCCTTGGTGACACCCTTTTTGGTGCCTGCATCGAGAATGCGGAACAAAAGTTCCGCCTCCTTTTGATTCCCTCCGAAAGCGACAATCACTTGACTCATCTCATTCTGTTGCATGAATCCATCCTTGTCTCCATCAGCCATATCAAAGAGGGGTGACACAATGTTCTGCACGAACTCAGTCTTAAACAGTCCATTAATACACTTTCCCATGGCCGTGATGAAGTCACTTTCATGCATCACAATCCCAGTGCGTTGGTGTTCCGGTCCGTCGGTACAGATGACACCGTACCAGAGATGGATCATAGCCTGCACCAACTGGTCCCCGAAGTAGTTCTCACTCTTTGGAAATTCGGAGAGGACGTTGGTGGCAATGTCGAGGAACTCGTCAATACCAACAGCGCCACGACCGCGTGAGTCGAAGCGACGGAAGACGGTGCGCATCTTTCGAATCCATGTAGGTGCGTTTACATCCACTTCAGGGTAGTCGGCAGCACATTTCATTTCCATTACGAGGAACGGGAGAGACAACGAGAGAGAGAGAGATAGGCGAGGTGGCTAGAGTTGGACCGTTGGGGAAATGTCAGGCTATGCACGCGCTTCTGCACGAGCGAGCGAGAGGGTGTGGGTGCTTGGCCTCCCGAAGGGGGAGGCGGGTTACAACCGCAGGCAAAGACACACACACCCCAGCGGTTCGATAAGACCAATCAAAGCCTTGCACGCCTCGCATGGGCCACTGCGCGAAAGCCTGGTGTGTCCGTCTGTCTGTGCTAACATGAATCTCTCCGTCCCAACGTCGTCTACCATTGATCTTCGGGCACAGGACAGCAATGGCGGTGGTAGCGCCACCGGCGAAAGTGGTGGTGGCGACTGGTTTGGTGGTGATATTAATGCATGCGGTGTCACATGTCGTATAACTGCCCCCTCCCACCTTGTTAGAAGAGAGAGGCTTGCAACACATAGCGAAAGCTAACTTCTCCATCGTCAAATTAAAGGATGAAAATGTTATCGGGATTTCTAGAATAAATTAACTGGTGGCAACTTTCCTCCCCCCTTCCCCGACCTTTCTAATCTGAAAGGCGCCAAATCATTTTTAAATCATAAGGTTACTTCGCCCATTAGAAGCAGATAATACAGAATTACCATATTTTGTTGGCATTTAAATCACCGTATTTAGGTGTTGTCAGTAAATGCTAGCTTCAAAGGAGTCATTAATCACCGATCCGGTGTGAGGACCGCTGATCTGTTATTCAGGAGCACATCAGCCGAATTCCAGAGCTTATACACCCTTGGGCAGACTTAAGACTCGAGAGAAAACCGTCTTGGGCTAACAGTGTGGATGTCGGCAGTGAATACTCACTTCAAAGCGATCGCTATTCACCGGTCCGGCGTGACAACCGCTGATTTGGTTTGGAAGAGTTAGTCCTTCAAATTCCAGAGTGCCTTACAAGAGTTGTTCAAACATGGGTAACACAGATATCATAATGAAGCACTTTTCCTTACGGGGTGTTGTATTAGTCTTGTCGGAGTAATGCACGTCAGTGCATCCGGTGTGCGTGCCAAAGGTAGAAGTGACCTTTCCTCATTCCACGTAGAACGAAATTGCGTGGTGTTGGCGATGTGCAGAACCGAGACAAAGTGGGATCTTAAAAAAGGGTCATATCTAGACACTGTTCGTCATCTTAATTATCCCCAGATCAGGAGCACCTACGCCCGCAATCTGTGTGAGGCATCCAGTTCAGCTAGTTGTGCTGTCGGGCTCCAGTAGCAAAACTCAGCCGTCCCACATGCGTGACGCCAAGTGGACAACGTCTTGAGCCTGGTTTTTCCACCCCTCCGGAGAGAGAACTAACTTGACCTAAAGACACCTTGAACCCGACAGATAGTTGCTTTCTTTCGTCACCTTTTTAAGATGGAGATAAAGTGGAGGTCTAAGGCCTAAAGTCCTCTCCACTTAAAAATTAAACAAGTGGTAACCAAGAATGGTGCCTATGGCAAAAAGTTCTGAGATTTTACAGTTGAGATCCCTCTTTAAAAATGAGGGAAAATTGCTACAAAGTCGAGTAAATAAGGGCTAAGAAGAGTGAACCAGTTATTTCCTTTACTTTACTGCTTGACTTTTACGGCGAATAGGGTGCGCATTCATCTGTCAAGTGAATCATAGGGGGAAAAAATATGAACACAGGAAAGGTAACGCTGGGGCATATGACCTACTAGGGATAGGGCAAAAGTGAGAGAGGGGTGGAATGGAGAAGAGGTTTCTATGTCAGCTAAAATTAAACACAAGAGCTACTTGCCTGCCTTAATCTGTTGTGTGGCTCAAGACTGCTAAATGTCTTACCCTTAAAACAAAGCAGCACGCTGTGGATCCGCTGCGAGGCAATAGGTGATGGACTATCCAAGTCAACCCAACGCTGTAACCACCTGCAACTGTAATGAAATGCCTTAGATGGAGTCCATAATATTATAATCTGTCTTCTTTGAAGGTCCTTTTTTGTTTATATTGGCATCGACTCCAAGTAGTGCAGAAAGTTCCACTTTAAAGCGCGTAAACTCTTCGGACGCTGATATTATTTAAGTAGCGGGGTGGGGAAGAGTCGAACGAAATGTGGACATGACTTGGCTGTAAGACTTTGGCTTCAAATGATGCCGCTTATGCATCATTGCATAGTTTAAAAAGAAAAATTGCTTCCAAAATATTTTTTATTGAAGCGTCTTTGATAAGAAATGCCAGCAAGCCCCAATATCCCTTCCTTGACGGAAGTCAAGAAACTTTAAACAATTTTACACTGTAAGAATTTGTATATCCATCAGCTGTAAATTTGACCATATACTTCCGTCTGCATAAAATTCAAGACAGTAAAGCGCGCTTCCATGTCTAGAGTTGCCTCCTGAAATGGGAAGAATGAAGAAAGCGCGAAAAAGGTGCGATTAAAAACGGCTTGTCAAGATGTCCACTGCCAGTATTGGCACGTGAGTAGAAAAACGTCTGTGTAGCAGGTGGATTCGATGAGTTTGGCACAATAAAGTGGATACAGGAGTTAGCTGCAACGCTTTGGTTGTGTATTTAACTCCCAGATTTGGTTCCATGAGCATTGAGGGCTCCACATTTGCACTCCCGCTGGGCGGCATGGCCTCCAGAATATGACAGTAGCAATATTTATTCCACCCTAGCATTGTTCCTTTTTCACCTTTAAGACTCGGGCGGCTACAGTGGCTAAATTTGCCACCACTAAATCCAGATCCTTAGTTTGTAGACATTCTAAAATCCAGTACATGATACTGAAATGACCATTGACCTTAGTAAATGTGCATTACTAATTACTACCATAGGCAATTATCTGTCACTCATCTCACCCATTTTTATCCTTGCCCGGGGTCATGGACGCCAGTGAAAGTTCACACAGCCCTACCGCTTGCACGGCAGGTTGAGGTCAAAACGCCGCCAGACGGAGGAGACCTCGTGTTTGGAGGAAGTACGCATGCAGAGAATGTACAAGTTCCCTCTCTAGATGGATAATGAGGGCCAAAAGAGTTGTCTAATTTTTCTTTTCCACTAAATGGGGCAAATGCGCTGCCTCACACACTAATGAGCGAGGGGGAAAAGTATTTGCCAGTCCGCCTGGAATAAGGTGTGTCCAGTGGAAATGTCAGTACGCAACATAAATTTCACCTGATGGTAAAGTCCGCATAGGGTATTTATTCCTATTTGGGGCATTACTGCCATTCTAAGACTAAATTGCTGCCGAATGTAGTGCCAAAGAAAATCATGGTGAGGTGAATTCCTCCACGAGCGTTTGCTTTGGCGACGATACTGAGTCACTCCACCATGGCTGCATGTGTTCGCTGTCAATGTTATTTACTACAAGGTACATCATTTACATGATCCTAAATTTTGAGTACTCAATGACATTTTTAAATGATCTTTCAGGAATCGCATGGCTCATGACATACTACTTAAATGGCGTAAAAGCAATCTCTTCTCCATTCATGATGGGCAGGAGAACACTCTTTTCCAAGTTCAGTTAAGGCTTTATTTGCACTCGATGTCATTTAAACCTCTGCAGGTTGTAAATGGCCTTTTTAGCTAATGTTAATGTTTAAAATTCCTTCTGAAATCTACTTGTCTTATCTTTTACCCTGTGCGCAACGTGCATAGGTTGAAGTACAGCAGCATTTTTTCCTTAGAATGGCAGAAAGATTTCAGCTCGCGGCTTGCACACAGCAGTTTTACATCCTGTAGAGCTTTGTTTTACGGAAATAAGTGGAATTCCAGCGATTAGCCTAACTTTGGATCAAATGGAATGTTTAACGACTGTCGACCTTGACCCGAACCAATCAACTGCGGGAATTATTGGGACGTTATTTATCCGATCACAATGCGAATTGTGGCAGAGACATGGCACATTTTCATCTACTGTCTTTTCAAAATCGCGTATTACACCCCATTAACAATGATATTATGGTGGACAATGACTGGCTACCTGATGCGTTTGTCTCTTCAAAATTACTCAAATTTTATTGAGGCTAAGTAGGGTTGAACATTACAAGGCGATTGGTTTGAGGGCCTCGGGACATCTTAAACACTCAATCTGCCTAACCTTATACTTTCGAGCGGTCATTGTTTTTTTTTCTTTAGGCATATTATCTTCAATCCGCATGATAGCTGCCGACAACGGGGGGCACATGGAGACCTCCTAGTGCACCCCGCCAGTATAGGTCTTTCAGCACTTTCCACTTCATTATGGTACAGAGTTATCTCTGCTATGCATATGTACCAACGGGAATAACTTTTTGCTATGGCAAAGTTTGGAAGTAAAGTTACTTCTCATCTGCGCAGTAAATGAATTAAGTGGTCACGTCTACGCCAGTAGGAATGGCAGGCATTCCAACCATAACTGGTAGACGGAAGCACTTAAAAGGAGAAATGAATGTTCCATCTACGAGGCACTGTTGTTTCGGCATTCTAAATGAGTAAGCTGTGATTTGGAATTATGAATTGCTTCATGGAAGCGTAAAGTTATGTAGTGCAGCTGCAATTACAGGCTCACCAATCATCTTCCTTGCAAGTTCAGTGGAAATCAGAGTCTCGAATAGACTACTCACTGTGTCGGGCTATAAGTGAGAGCCGATGGGCTGCAGTAGCTCAAAGTGCTTCTGACAAGTTCATCTTAGTTGAAGAAAATGTGTAAACCAAATTGGAGTTTCAACGCCCCGACCACAATCGGTGGATGGCAACACAATACGAAGTGAGGTGCGGACGGACAAAAGAGATCCACAAGGGTGAGCAATTTGGTTTGCGGATTAAGTTGTGAACATCTTACCATGAGGAATTACATGCCCTTCCTGTAGGCTTATGCGGTCGGTCATTAAGGGGACATGTTGAAGCACCGCGCCAATAAAATTCTCCCCAATTAGCGGTGCATGCTAATTCCTGGTGGGCAACACTATGGTCATTTCCATACAAAGTAACTCACATATTGCCTTTTTTGAATAAAATGTGATTTGGAAGCTTATAATTGTAAATTTTATGGGACTCTATGATTAGCTGTAGTGGTGAAATGAGAGAGGCATTTACCATGTGAGTTTTTTTTGAAATGACGTCGAAGTGGTTATCCCCCTCCGGAATTCCTATTGTTTGGCAAAGGCAATTCTACTGTAACGTCAGCTCTACTGCTGTTGTTTCTCCATCACTTTGGCGCACTGGCTCAGTGGCATTTGGCTCCACGCCAAGGTGATAAATCACTCCAAAAGTTGGACCGGGCCAAATATGGTGGGTCTTCAAGCCCTATTTGATTGATAGCCTTCATATATTTTCAGGTCACAAATAACTTTTGTAGTTGGACGAAAATATAGCAGTTGGACAGATAATATATTGCCTACGTATAAAATGGCTGGCGGAGCTGCTGGCATAGCCTGGAGGCCAAGCCCCTAAGCAGAAATACAAAGGCGGAGGCACAAGTGCCAGCGAAACCAAATTGAAGAGTTTACCACCTAAGTGAAGCCTTATACTACGGAAGAATGGCGACATTCTCCACGCAAATTGCAAACTACTTCAAATATCACTGTGCTGGTGACTCTTTTCAGGATTTCCCATGCAAGGGACCACCCGATTCTCACGATGCATCGCAGTAGGTAAATGTCGGTTGTAGAGGATTGCAAAAAAAGGCTTCTGCAATGCTCGCATGTGGTGTCGGCTTGGTAATAAATTGCCTCCGCATTGTATATTTCATTTCTGCATTCCTATCGCAGCAGTATTTTTGCCACAACCCGAGTTGTGTACATTTCACCGCGAGTTTGTAATAATCTCGGTTTTAACTGGGTTTCAATGAGCAAATTGTCTCCTTTACCGTAAGATGAAAGTGTGTTTTGAAGTGTGTTTCTTCGCCAGTCCTGACCCTTTGTAATGTGATTCCTTCCTTTGCATCGGGGCACACTTGCATGTCCCAGATTAGGTCTTACATCTGCAAAGTAATGCCAAGTTTAATCACCAATGGAATGGGTTCCAAGCACTTGGTTCCAGCACCTCGGAGGAGAATCCACCTTGGCACTCTAGATGTTAGCTTGTTCAGCCAAAACGCCAGCTAAACTGCCGCCCGAAGACTTGAAAAGTGTATAAAACATCACACGATTACGAAGACCAACTCTCCGTCTCTCCTACCCTTCCAGGTTTAAGCCCAACTTGGTCGTCTATCATAAAATAACGGAGAACAATTTGCGCGCTTTCGTGACTTGTTGACTCGGACAAAAAGCGCGGGTCATCGTCTACGCGCTGTAGTGACAACGAACACGTCGGGACGCATTTAGAATCACCACTTTTAGGCTACTAAATTTAGTGACCGGAGATTATTATTGTGGAATTCAAGATTTATTAAAACCTTCAAAATGCAATACAACGATGCGTTCTGAAAGCTGAACTGCGCGGGCAGTCGAATCGCCCGCAATTGTGCCCCACGCCGTTCGGCTACGTGGCCTTTGAATCATACCAGTGTTGACTTCCAGCCTGTCAACACGACAGCAATATGTACTCTGCCATCTCACGGTGGCTTGTTGCCACTGCACATTCTTCAACACCCTTTGAGTGTGGTTTGAAGTTTCTTAATAATGTCTCAAGAAAGGAGTATTAGCAACCATTTTTACAAAGAACCGAAATTTCAACTATTATGTCAAAAGTTTTGTGTTTTGCAATAGGAATTAAAAGCAATTTAGCTATGAAAGGGTACTGTTGCGCCCCGAGTTTTCCCTAAAGTCAAAAGAGGTCATAATGCTAGGGCAAAATACAGAAGAGCTGTTGAGGGAGCTACCGACATGCTCCGCAGATCACGCCGCAGCGCAAACGCAATTGCGGAATCTCAAGTGCCCAGGTAACTGCAACGAAGAGGCGAAGAAAAAATTTAACAATTAGACCACAATTTTCGCATCAATTAGTACAAATAGTTTTGGATAGACAAAACTGAAAACCAATCACTGAAACCAAAAAACTGTTTTGGATTCTGTGAAGAAGGAACACTTTGTAGGAGGACTCGCATTATCTGGATGGGTCTCAACTGCTTCCACTGCAAGACCGCCAGGGAAAATACACCACTTTCACGGTCTGCCTCAAAGTGGACTACTTGGTTGTTTGAATGCGCCTTCTAGGCAAGAGGTGGTTAGTAGGTACGAGCTTCGAGACTGGGGAGATGCCATTGGCCCCCTGAGGGGTCAAGAGTCCCCCAAATTAAAATTACCGTGAAACCTGGACCATGTTATTATTCCTATCCAGCGGAGATTGTTCTCGTCTAACCCGTTTGCTCGTTATAGGAGTACGAATACGGAGTTAAAAGGTATGAAAAACAGTACGTTAGAGAGGCACGACCATCGAAAGAGAAAATTAGATTTAGTCTTCTTAACCTTACAAGACGGTCAGTTGTACAACCATCAACGTAGTCTTCAATGCATTAGTGTCTTTACCATCCCATAGCATCGAATTACGTAGCCTCCATCGTCCGCGGCGCACTCTCTGTTCAACCACCACGTTGGCCGTCGCAATGCAATCTGTGCTGCAAAGCGTTCCATTATAGTTTGAGGGTATGCAAACCTTCCGAGTTTTTCGGGTGGTGGCCGAGCGGGTGTTGTTACAGAACAAGCAAATATCTAGGCTGCGAAGTTTAGGTTTCAGACGTCGAGGAAGTAGGAATACAATCATCGTTACTCAGAGTCCATTTTACTCATGCTTGAGCTTGACATTACTTCGCAGAAATAAGGTTCAAACTGAAATATGGCATTTGCAATCCCAAGTGGAGTGTACATGACTTTAAAAGCAGTTAAAGCACGGCATCTGTAGCAGTGCAGAAAGGAGATATACAATATGGAGGTAGTTAATCGTTGTGCGGGGAGCACATTCGATTATTGCAGAAGCATTCTTCCGCAGCCCTTGACGACGGACATTTATCAATTGCGCGGAATTGTGAGAACCAGGTGGCCCTTTCTCTTGTCGGTCCTGAAAAGGAAATTCGCGTTTGGGTGGAGGATGTTGCCTTTTGGTTTTTCAGAAACACTTTGTTTGTTTGAATCTTTGTTGCACCCAGAGCTCCGCTTTTGTACTTCTGCTCGGCGGTATGGTCAGCGTATTCCTCCTTCCCTAGACGCAGATGCCAAAGAGGAAGAGACTTGGTGGAATTTCTAAGAGGGTGCAATGACTTTGCAGTTAGTTATCTTCTCAGTTGCTCGCACGTTTGATGAGTGGTGGGGTTGGTTCGTGGGTGGCTTCTTTCCTACACCACCGACTGCGTTGTGATGGCTGGTACGGGCGGTTGACCAGGAGTAACGTTGGGTGTGACGCTCAAAAGGATCGCGGGGCTATGCAGTACGTTAACTGTTCGTTTAATTCTCGATTTTGAATACTTGGACACTTAAGTCTCCGTGGTTGTTCTTACGCTGTGAGGCATGGCCCTCAGGCCATGCCAATAGCCCTCACCAGTCCTTATTTACATCGACTCTGGTATTAGGATGCCTTTTGACTTCAGGAAAGACTCAGAAAGCCATACTAGGTTACAGTGAATAGAAATATCAAAAGACCCGCCATGCTGACAGATTACAATAAACACAGAAACCAGGGAATTGTGGAAATCCAAATGCACGTTGAGAGAAGGACTGTTGAATCTTCCTGTCAGTCTTTAAGGGGGTCGAGGAGTACAACGACTATCATAAGCGCGTACATTGAAGGAGTGCCACTATGGCAGTCTTGGTTTGTTGGAGCAACAGTGACAATGGCAGCAAGCTTTTTGACAACACCATTCCTTGTCGAGGTGGGCCTCGTCTCCCCTCCTCTCTCTCCCCCCAATTTCTAATCCCTATCTACGATCGAAAGAATACCGAGGCGGTTTCACTAAGAGAGAGAGGTCAGGATTTGAAATTGAAACTCCTCTTGATTTCATCACACCTCCTGCATCCGTAATTATTTCTAGGACCGAAGGGACGACAACATGGACTCGATGGAAAAATATTTCAGAAGAAAAGTGTTAAAAATGTCAAATTCTAAACCGTCATTGTAGTTTGAAGAAGGACTAGAGGCCATCAACAGTAGCGGAATGCTACAGCACAGAAGTGGAAATCAAAAATCATACTCAATTCATGCAGACATTGTTCCGTACTACCCCTTCCAAGTCAAACAATATAAGTGGCTTGATTTTGGGAAATTGCACGAACTTTTAACTCATTTTTAATTTTTTTTTATTTAATTAGAAGCCAACTCTTGTCTACCTATGGAAGCAGGCTTAATGCTAGAGTTTTAGGAGTACGATCCCTTTCGTGCCTCGGCGATTTGGCCTCTTGTCCATGCACAAAGCCTTGCAGCTTCTTCTGTCCGAGAATTAAGAATCATCCTTCCATACTGGCCTGCCGCATTAAAACTTCATGATCAACCTGGCAGCAGCCCTATTTAGATGGATAAAAATTTTGATTATGTCCAGTGCGAGACATGGCTACACATCATAAGGGGAAATTTTGCTGTGGTGAGTGATTCTACGAAAACTCACAACTGGATGGTAAAGGAACCAGCGTCTTGATGTCGATTTTAAAAAAGTTACCGCTTGTAGAGAAAGAAATTCGGGGACCGAGCTTGCTGGAATACCTACTATGCCTCCATTAATCCATCTGATGCCATTGAAGAACACCGTCTAGCCTTTGGAATAGAGCAAAGACTTCTCCTTCTCCAATAGAATTCGCATAGCTGAGGCACAGGATAGTCTTGACAACCAACCGATTTTACAAGGTACATTGCCATTAGCAGGCCTTAATCTACCAGTGATGCGGGTGTAGAATATCACTTTAGATCCCTCCCTGGAGTCGATCCTATTCCATGGGAAGGCTTGTTACAATCGAAAGAGAAATTTGACCGACGACGATTGCTCTCCAAGGAGAAAGTGTGCTGTGCAGTGAGCCAGGAGTTTCACAGTTCTGTTTTAACCACCCTGACTTAATGATAATGAGTGTTCTGACATTAAAATGGCTTTGCCTGCCTGTGCAGACTATCCCCTTACCCATCATGCATTTGTCATGTGAATGAGTTCCCAACACCACAATCCACCCTTATCTTCCCCATAATTATGCAAGTCCCCTTAGGAAGTGCAGGATATGACAGCTTGGTCAGAAATCTGTCAAATAAAATGACATTTCTTTGCAACCCCACACAAGCGCTTCAAGCTGGTGTGTCAAGACATTGATCTGTTGGGTACGCTTGACCTTTACTAACTCCCCTTCAATCTACAGGGCAATAGCACCTACTTTGTGACGGCCAAGGCAAAAGTTTGACCATCGCGAGCGTCTTCAACGATGGCCCAATGGAGTTTGCCCGAGTTTTTCGGGCAATAGCGTCCTGTCAATGGTGGAGCCTAGTACAGCTTCCATGGAGAATGCCCCCGAGAGACCTCAAGCGGGATAAATAAAAACTTCACCTCCCTACCCGTTAGATGCTTCTACTTATCCTCCAAAGAATGCAGCTGTAACCATTGTGGGATGAACTGATGAAATGAAAGAGGATTCTCGCACCTGTCCATTTTGGCTACCATCTTGGTGATATAGTGTTCTGCTAATGCCATGGACTCTCAGTTCCATTATCTATTTAACGACAGATTTCTGTAGGAATTTAAAAACTCTCTGACACCAGTGATGACGCAAGCATTGGATATTAGTGGACAGAGAAAGCTAAACCAGGAAAATGAGGAAATAATGAACTAAAATACTCCACCTTTAGCATTCAGAGTCTTCCCTGTAGATGGAAGAATCTATAATACTGGGGCAGAACATGAGTTTTCGGCGTATAGAAGGGCTGGGTGATACTGGGGTGACTCTGAGGACATGTCACCAGGCCAAAGAATAAAGATGAGGATTTACGAGTCCACGAAACAAAATTGAAGACTTAAAATAAATAGTCAACGTATTACAGAGCCACCACCTCCTCTTTTGAGCGTCGTCCCCTACGCTTTCCCTGGTCAAACTTCTACGTTGGCCATCACAGTGTAGTCGGCGCCGGAGAATAGGCACCGACTTAGGAATTAACGACGTCAGTCATCGAATTTGCTCACAATTGAGAAGATACCTAACAGCAATGTCACTGATCCCTCTTAGCAACCTCACTGGATCTGGAGCACCGTTCTGTCTGGGAACTGTGTTGAGGCAAGGGAAAATGTGCTCCCCATCTCATATGAAAGTATGCCTCATTAAGTCTGGATACATCATATGTAATCTGGAGGAGGATATTCGAAGGTGAGGTGCCTTTCGGCTGTGGAAATTGCTACTTCATCGTGCCATCTTGTTGCCTTTGAAGGTAAATTTTATTAATCCTGATTAGAATCTGGATCTAATAACCCCCTGATGAAAGTACGCAGCAGAGTTAGGAATTCAGTCGTGCACTTATTAATATACCTGAATGGTTTATATTACCACCAGACTTTGATTATTTAACTAGAAAGTCTGAGGACTGCAGAAAGACTAACTGGCTATGCCTTAATGTTTGATCGCGCTCATGAGACCGAGGAATTCCAGCAAATTCAAAATAGCCTTCTGTCCTATGACCCATTGAGAGTGAAGCGGCAACCAACAGAACTAGATCATCTGAGTTGGTGTTGGTGCTAAGTAGAGAGAAAGTTGTTATGCTCAAATATATAAGTAAACGCTTCTAAAATTGTCGTACTGACAGGGGAGATGCAGGGCGCCCTAGATATCAACTGGCTCATGCAGTGATCACTCGAAATCGAGAAACAGTGGTAGAATCTCATCAACAAAAATGACTGCGAGCGTTTTTTCTGTTTTATCCTTGATTCATGGGTATCTTAACGTTAATAAATTTTTAGGTGAGTATCTATGCAAGGCGGCTACTTCAAGCACTTCAGGTTGTACTTCCATCTCTGACTGGACATTCCGATCGAGCTAACAGCCTCTAGCTCCCGAGCGTTTGCATATCCTTGACGTGAATTTTCAGTAACTTCAAGAAAGAGTAGGGGCGCTGCAGAAACAGAGGCCATTTATGAAGGAACA